GTGTGTGTGTGTGTGTTCGCGCGCTCACTTCCTTGACCCGCGTCCAGCCAGGAACAAGCTGCATGCCATGCCGGCTGCTCCACCCCATCGCCGAGGAACGTGAAATTCAAGTCTGACGTGTTCACTACAGACAAGGCTCTTATAGCTGGCTCCCTTCATTAGGTACACTTGTGCACTCGAATCAAGGGGTTCTCAAATTTGTTGAGCTCAAAGCTAGGGAGGAGTAATTTGATTTACACCTTGGGGTATTATTCATCGGCCATTTACATGGGACATATAGACAAAAGGCCAATCACACACTAATGGGAAATTTAGCCTTCAATGAAGCTCCTGTGCATGTTTGAGTCAAGATTCAAAACCAGACCCTCGAATATTGTTGTTTTTCAAGTTTTCATAATGAACTACAAATATGTTTTGTCAAAATAAAGTTAGTGAAATCGCTGTAGTTTGTGGTTGGTATCCGTAATATAGACAAATATTACAAACTGACCGAATTTTCCCACGTGTGTGACGTCATCGCCAGTCGCGCAAGTATACAATGGTGCGGGACGAAATTTTTAAAAATAACTTAAATATCTTTAAAAGCAAAATACCGGTGTGGTTAAAACTTGAAGGACTAAAATAACAAAATATCTAAATAGAAAAAAAAGTCAAGAAATGCAAAGGAGAGGTGGCACGTGGGAGACAAATTACGTCATGATGGGCGTCCACCTTAAATAAAGTTTGTGTATGTGTGTGCGGGCGCCCTAGCTCTTTCTCCCGCAGTTGCCCACAATAACCATATTTTCCAAATACAGTACACTCAAATGAGAAACTCGGCGGATTGAGGCCAATCTAGGAGCCGAGAGGGAACAATTCGACAAGCGACAGGTAAAGACGACATTTGTCTGTTTGTTTGCTTTTAGAAATAAAGTTTGTGTATGTGTGTGCGGGCGCCCTAGTTCTTTCTCCCCCCAGTTGCCCACAATAACCTTGTTTTCCAATTACAGTACGCCCAAATGAGGGGTTCACCTGTGTATTAATTAAGTCAAACAATCTTTTAAACTGAACCAAAATGGAGGGTTTATTTGCATTATATTTTACCTGAAGTGGAAGGCTCACCTGTGCTTTCGTTAACTCAAAATGGAGGTATCATCTGCATCTTAATTGACTCGAAGTGGAGCGGAAAATGTGCTCAAAATGCCCACAAAATTGTCTTCTAATTATACAAAAGGAGGGCTCACTCATGTTTTTTTTTATTAACTCAAAATGGCTCACCTGCGTTTTAAGTGACTCAAAATGGAAGGCAAACATTTCTTTTACATGACCAAAAATTGACATTTACCCTGTTTCTTAATTGTTCCAAAATTGAGGGAAAATGTATTGCAAGTAGCCCAAAATGGAAGGGAAATTGTTTTCTAATTCAGTTATTTAAGAGTGTGAAATAAACGACACTAGTGGTAAAGGTGCTCCCTCTAGTGGTTGACAGTAGTGGGAAAGGTGCTCCCTCTAGTGGTTTGCAAAGAATCACTAAATTAAATGTTTAGTTATATTTAACTTTTAAGTATGTTTTCATTTATTTAAGATTGGCTTGTATACAATATGTACATTTTATTTGATTCTGTTTTTCATGTAACTTGTACACTATACATTTTAATTATAGAATGATACTATGCAAATATTTTATTTTCCAACATTTGAGTGCATCATTTAAGTGACCGACAGTAATATTACATACACTTTTTAGGAATAATTTAACTAAAAATGGAGATCAGTAAATGCTAAAATGGCTAAAACGAAAGGCTAAACCGTTTACATTAACCTCAAGTGGTTGTCTCACATGTCATTATTTTTTTTGTCAAAAAAGGAAAGTCTGTCTGTGTTTTAATTTACTTTTATTTTACATTTTTTGGCTTTCATTGTTTTTTTTTTTTTTTTTTTAAAGGACCCAAAATGAACTGTTATTTTCTAAAGTTGTTCAAGTAAATCCAATCTTATGTCAACATATGTCAAAATGGTTCTGGTTGCAAATGAGATAAAAATAGCTTGTTACTGTTGTCACACTTTGGAGTGGACCATGAGTTCATGCCATTTTTTTTAAAGTCAAATCAAAATTTGAAAGGAAAGCAGACACATCTTGACACGATCATAGTGCTAATCTAGATGGTCCTGTTTGGCCAGATCTCCTCCTTCTCCTCCTCCCTCCACTACATTTGTCACAGTTTCTTGATATGCTACAGCAAGCAGCTCTGTTTTTTGGCCTATACTCGCGAGTTTGTTGTTACTGAAGGAATGACTTTTAAGTTTTTACTTTCCTTGATGAGGTCAAGTTGACACTGGTTGTGAGATAGTAGAATTCCACAAAACTACTAAGATGCATATTAGTGCAAGAGAAAAGAATAGGCAAGGTTATGACAACATGGGAGGGAGGGGGGGGGGTCTGACATTCATAACAATATTGATGATTGGGCCGATGTGGTAATTTGTGCACGCCTACCACAGTTTTATTTTGACCAATCACAGCAACGATGAAGATGTCGTCACCGGCCTTGCGCCTACTCTATCTGTGAGTCCTCAAAGGTTGAGTACTCGTACTCGTATCGGTCTGGAAAAAAAAAGTGGTGTCGAACATCCCTAGTTATCACCGTTGACGCAACAAATATTTGAACACACTGTAGCAAAGTAACACATGCAGACAGCACGTCGTGATGATACGATAGACGCAGGCATATATTCTTTATCCTCCGCTAAAATACAAACCTTTCTGCAGCTAACCGTGTAGTTGTACACGGGTACACACAAAGACACCCGTCTTTGTGTGTACCCGTATGCGTGTGGGGCTGTAACAAATTAATGGCACTTGCAGTCATTTCAAGAGGCAAAGATGAGTTGCGAGTGTGAACGAATTAAACTTCAAATCAAGACACTGCTGACTAGTGTGCGGGAGCTAGCCTAACATGTCTTGTGATCAAGTTGCTGATTCATGCAGTCGAGCTCCACTGCAGCACTGCTCTTCACTAATGTGAACGTGAAGCATCTCTCTCTCTCTCTCTCACACACACACACACACACACGCACACACACACACACACACACACACACACCCTCTCTCTCTCTCTTTATCTATACTGTAAATCTAGATATCTATATCTATCTATCTATAGAGAGAGAGAGAGAGAGAGAGAGAGAGATGTGGGTGTGTATACGTAGTGTTTGCTTTCCATTGCTGTTGTTGCCTGAGTGAGTGCCCATGAGGGGGGGGGGGGTTGAAGGTAGATAAACAGAGAATGTTAGAGTGGGAGTACAGTCGAGAGCAGCACTTTTAATGTCTTTAGCCTTCTGCTGTTAATTAAAGGGGCCAATGATGTGTTGAGTTAAAGCCGCTGCTTGTGTGGACACTTTCTCCACCGTGGTGGTTTTGTGTCAACGCATAACATGAGCGGACCAGTGTGCACTTTTAGGATGCCGTGTTGTTTACAAAACATGTGCCTATATGACTGAAAACACACATTAGACACAAGAATGACAAATAAATAGCTTCAGAAGTACAATACGGAAATGTCGTCGTCCCATAAAGAGCAATCCATTCATGAATTTTATTTAGGGGTAGGATGGTGGTGCTAATCCCAGCTGACTTGGGGTACAGACGAAGTGCAACCTGGACTGATTGCCAGTGTATCAAATGGCACACAGGGATCGTTGCATATAAAATCAACCAAAAATGTGATCTTCACTTCACTGGTATGATTGGAAAAAGACCAGAACAAAAAACTGATTTGTCTTAAGACTCCTAATTAGGCTAACAACCTTTGCGCTTATTAAAGATACCCTTCAATGTTAAATATCTTCAGTATGTCTCCAAAACGACATCACTCAAGAAGCTCATTTAGTTATGACAAAGATCTTCCCAAGTCCAATAAACCTGTTATAAATGTTTCTCCAATTCAAACTTCAAATGTCAGTAAAAAAAAAAAAATCTCATGCTGTTGATTCTTCAAGGTTGTAGAGCAATTTCATGATGTTGTGATTCGAGGTGCAACGATTAATCGGGAACTAATTGATTATCAAATTAATTATTTTTCTGATCTTGTTCAACCTAGAGTTTTCCAAATCCTTGGAATTTCAGCCTCTCAACAGTAAATATTCTCGAATTTAGTGTTTTTTTAAGACCTTTGCAGCATTGCTTTTACTTTGAAAAACTATCGTTTTTGCAAAAAAAAAAAAAATCGATCAATCGATTATCAAATGAATCCCTAGTTGCAGCCCTAAATGTGATCGGCACTTTTAAAGTTTCTGAGAAGTGAGTAATTATTCTATGTGCCATAACAAAAAGACAAATACTACTACACTGACATTACTAATATGTAAACATAGGCCGCTATTAGATTGTGACGGTCGGTTAACCATGAGCAAAAATTTTGCCGTATCACACTATTGAAATTACAGCTCTGAAATATGTTGTATGGGGAAATATTATCATTCTTGTTCTGTTTTAATTCTTCTGAGTAAATCAGTGTCCCGTTCCCCCTCGAGCTATTTTTAGAGCCGACCGGCAGGCTACTTATGTTGTCCTTGGAGCTCGTAGTACCTGCTGGTAATGCACATTAATCGACATGCTGAAGACGTATGCACAAAGTATGCTGGAGTTGCCGCAATTGCTCTTTGTCCTCTCCCTCACTATGTAACTGCTCACCTCTCCTCTTTATTCTCAGCCAAGAAGGGGGGGGGGGGGAGTGGCTGTTTTTATGGAGGTCTGTTGAAATAGGTCTGAATGCGAAACCAGTACGTGGTGCAAAAAAGAGTTGGGGACTGCCGTAAAGGGCTGAAAAACTGTCAACTAAGTTAATTGATTTGACTCGACTTTGATCTCATTGTAGTAGACGACATTCCGAGCTGTTGGTTAGCCCGCTCCCCTGCTGATGTGTTTGATTTTAAGCTGGTAACAAACTACACAATCTCACATTTTCATCCAGCCGGGCAGCAGCAGCAGTTTTACATATTTAAGAAGCGTTCCCGACTCTGAACCGAACACCCGCATGGCTTGCACGCGGACTCGCTGCTGTCGAGTCACAGGGGGATGGGGCACACCGGGGTTTGAAGCAGCGCAGGTCAAGTACGTGGCAACCATAATGCAAGCTGGCAGCCCACCTTCTGGCGGGCCCTCGGTGGTTGCAGATTAGTTGAGGCTTTCCCACCTTCTCGCGTCCCCTCTCGGCTGCTCCGAGGATTTGTGGGTGCTCCGGATTGATGCACCATGGCAGCCGCTGGAATGTTTAAGTCGTGAGGAGGATTACAACAATAAAAATTAAAGCCTACCGACCAGAAAAAAAAGCACACACCCCATCCCTAAATCAAAACATGCAGCCTTTGTGATTGAAAATGTCAACCTACTACGCTGCAATGTCAGTTTGAGTGTGTTGAGTGTGACTGTTATCCACCCACAACAGAGAGAGAGAGAGAGAGAAACTATATTTGGCTCAAGCTACGGCAAGTCTGCGCGTGAGTCTCTGGGCATGAGCTGTGGCTAACAGCAGCTCCTGCATAAGGGTGCTCATTGTTTGTTTTATCCTGGATGGCGTTGTTGATTGAACGTGAGCTGCGCTGTCCTCTTCTAGTATTTTTCAGCCGTAAATGGCCGAAAATCACCTCGGCGACTGCGGCTCTCCTTTCTCACCTGCAGGGGCATCACAGTACAGTAAAACAGCCGATGCAAAGTGCAGATTTTCTGCATAACATTTTGGGTTTCCAGATCAGTAGATCGGGTGAGCTTTGTTATTCCGAGCCATGCAGGCAGTGATCTGGGGGTGGTCAGGGCAACGGTAGTGAGGCGAGTGCAACTTGACATTCTGGTGAGTGAGGCCGCAGTGTGGCACACTTGAATGATTTGAACAAGGTGTGCCCTCCTCTACGTGCTTTCACTTTTGTCTTCAGCTCTCCAACTGGTCCAAATCATTCTCCAACCCGAGTTTCCCCGTGGCTTCGCTGCTCAGTGGCCATCTGTCGAGCCAGGCTCTGTGTGCCAAGAGCACCCCCGCCCCTCCCCACTCACACACACAGCAGCTCCTCCCCAACGTGCAACCCAACCATTCATCCTCTTTTTCTCTCCCCTAACCAACAAGCCCCTCATTGTCGCAGCGCCCGCCTTCGAAACGAGCAAGCACGACAGTTCGTTGGGTTTGCGTCACCGCGGGGGTGGAAGGGTCTCCTGTTGTATTTACCCTCTCGTTGCCAACTCACTGCCACAGAAGCCCCTCTGTTCGCGATGCACTTATGGGGACTAAAGCGGTCTTTCTCAAATTGGGGTTCCTGGACCTCAAGGGGTTCACAAGCCTGAATTTGGGGGTCCACAAAATAACGAATTACCAATAATTGTTGTTAGTTGAACCATATTGCGTATAGTTATGATTTCCTAAGTCCTATTTGGATGTTTTTTGAAAATAAGGGGAAAAAAAATCCCACACATTTTTCCTGCCTGCAAGCACTTTGTATTCTTCTTTTTGATTTGATAACTATGTTAAATTACCTTGGCAATGCTAACGCTATCATGCGAACAATGTGAGGACTGATCCGCCAAATAGGCATCCCGTTTTCTCCTTCCACCATTGGCTGTGGTTCAGTTGAAATCCCCGAGATGACTGTGACATCATCACATAAATCTGCCTCCCTGCAGGCGCTTGGCATTTTCTCGCCGCTGCAGATTTGAGACAGTTTCTAGTTTCTCCTCAGCTCAGTGAACAGGTGAGACGTTTTCAGATCAATGAAAACAGCATCAGTTCCAAGATCAAGATGGAATAAGGTCAAGTTTACATTTCATTTTTATGAGAACCAAGAACATGTCTAACATTCAAGACTTGAGCCCTGTTTTCTTCTTTCTGCAGCTTTGGTCTGTCTTGGACATTGGCTTGAAATTCAGGACGTATGTTTCCCTGCTTGGTTTCCGTAAGAGTCTCTCTCTTTCTCTGAAGTCTCAGAGACATGCCCCAGTTTTAACTTGAGACCCCGAAAGCTCGAAACTGTGGAGCATCACCTTGAAAGTTACTGACCTATAAATCTATGATATGATTGCTAAGCGTACGGCATTTACAATGACGGGTGAATTCAATTTAATTTGGTCAACTGGCCATGCACATTTGCGGTGACACATTGCGGTGGTTAGCAGTGTGGGCCTCACACTGCAGAGATGCAGGGTTCAATTCCAACTTCCCTGTGTGGAGTTTGCATGTTCTCCCCGGGCCTGCGTGGGTTTTCTCCGGGTGCTCCGGTTTCCTCCCGCATCCCAAAAAACATGCATGGCAGGTTAATGGAACACTCTGAATTGTCCCGAGGTGTGAATGTGAGAGCGAATGTTTGTTCGTCTCTGTGCGCCCTGCGATTGGCTGGCAACCGGTTCAGGGTGTCACCCGCCGACTGCCCGAAGACACCTGCGATATGCTCCAGCACACCCGCAAACCTCATGAGGATAATCAGATTACAAAAAGGAATGATGGATGGATGGATGGACATTTAAAAAAGATATATAAAAATCTTATGAGATGGTGTTTGTTAAATAGGCTTTAATATTTTGAGGTGAAGTTTGAGAACCGTTTGCCTCCAGTATTGGGACACATGGCAACCTACAAAAAGTGAACATGACAGTAAACTCTTTGGGGAGCTTTCTTTTTGCAGTAACTCACTGATGTTGGATACAGTTTGCTCAAAAACTGCACGCAGAAATGGGAATGATTAAAAAAAAATTTTTAAGGATGAACATTTGGGGGCTGGGTGTGGGGAGGTTAAATGAAAACCAGAGATTAAAGCCACGTGTGGATTAGTGCCTTGACTGGATAAGGGGTTTATATAATACCACACTAGTGTAGCTGTGACTGTGTTTGCGCACGCATGCACACACACACACACACACACACAAATATAGGCTGAAGGGCCAACTTAAGTCCAGGAACAAAATATAAAAATAAAATGATTGTCAGCAATTAATTATCACATCTGGCTAACTGTGCTCTTATCTGGGGTTTTTTTTCCCCTCCTTCCTTCCTCCTTCCTTGATCATTATAACAACAATCATTTTGCAATGGTGACAGGGAGGAACGTTGAGAATGAGCTCATCAGGTGCCACTTGTTTCGAGTCCACTTTCTTAAACTTTGGTGCGATATGGTTGGATGAAATGGCATTATGATTCAAGATGGTATGGCCTCGTTCAAGAGGGAACAATGCAATGGGTCTCTTGTCATTTGACATGCATAGGATGGAGCTTGCCAGCGCTGTAAATATTTCCTTCAAAGAGATTGCTCGGCAATCAAGGGTGATCCCGTACCTTTCTTGAGAGAACGAACCGAATCAATTCCATCTCACGCACTTGCATCTTTTAAATTCAAACCAGTTTTCCGTCGAATGGGTGCATAACTCGACCGTTAACAATTGGAGCACTGCTCATTGTGAGGGTGTACCGCCACGCATTTTTAGATCATTCACAAGGCTGCGATATAAACAATCTCAAAGGCAAAAATCTGCCGCGTCTCTTCCTTCCTTTGCGCCAGACTTTCATGCTCGACACTTGCTTGTCCCGCCGGACCGGTTGCGGAAGGGCGCAGAGTCTCGGATGGCTCATTCGCCACACAATGCTTGAAAGATCTTGTCTCCCGACACGGGCATCTGGTCTGTATGACTCAACATCTCCGCAAATCAGCATTTTCAGCAGCTGCAATCAGCTCTCCGCAACAATGGCAAAATATCTTGGCCAACAATCGAGAGTCTCCTCGTCCCCCGACCGACCAAACTTTATTTATATGAGCGTTGACGATGGTCGGCGCCTTCGTTTTCGAAGCCGATCCGGTAGGGATAAAGTCACGGCTGTGTTCAAGCTCAGCGGGTCAACGTTTTGTGCAATTGTATGAGCTTTTTTTTTTTTTTTAAAAGGGTATTTCTCTTTCTTCTTCAAGCTAAGCAGCATCAGCAAAGCCATCAACACCACCGAAACACCCGTGAAAGAGAAGCATGCACGACGTATCCTTTTTTTTTTCTCCCGCCAGAAGGAAGCAAGGCCATAATAACTAAGAGGTTTCGTATGTGCATCAGGTGTCCACCAGTGCCTGGTACAGTTGAGTTTTTTTCTGTCATGGTTTACGCCTCCTTAACAGAGAACCCTTCAGGTATCATCCTGGGCACTCACCGGGAGAAGGGGGCCTACACCTTCTGGTCCTACGCCCTGGGCTTCCCCCTGGCCAGCAACTCCATCCTCAGCTGGAAGTTCTGCCACGTGCTGCACAAAGTCCTGCGCGACGGCCATCGCAATGTAAGATCAGGTTTTGTGACTCATCATTCAAAACGCACACAAAAAATCAACAAAACATGTCGTTAAATACTTAAGTGCATTTGGCGTTCCTTCACAGGTGTTACAAGACTGCTTGAGACATTTCAGTTCTATTGTGGAACTCGGCCAGCTTTGGGTGAGTCTGTTTGTCTCATGGTAGGCAAGGAAAGTTTATTTGTGTTTGCGCACGCATGCACACACACACACACACACACACACACAAATATAGGCTGAAGGGCCAACTTAAGTCCAGGAACAAAATATAAAAATAAAATGATTGTCAGCAATTAATTATCACATCTGGCTAACTGTGCTCTTATCTGGGGTTTTTTTTCCCCTCCTTCCTTCCTCCTTCCTTGATCATTATAACAACAATCATTTTGCAATGGTGACAGGGAGGAACGTTGAGAATGAGCTCATCAGGTGCCACTTGTTTCGAGTCCACTTTCTTAAACTTTGGTGCGATATGGTTGGATGAAATGGCATTATGATTCAAGATGGTATGGCCTCGTTCAAGAGGGAACAATGCAATGGGTCTCTTGTCATTTGACATGCATAGGATGGAGCTTGCCAGCGCTGTAAATATTTCCTTCAAAGAGATTGCTCGGCAATCAAGGGTGATCCCGTACCTTTCTTGAGAGAACGAACCGAATCAATTCCATCTCACGCACTTGCATCTTTTAAATTCAAACCAGTTTTCCGTCGAATGGGTGCATAACTCGACCGTTAACAATTGGAGCACTGCTCATTGTGAGGGTGTACCGCCACGCATTTTTAGATCATTCACAAGGCTGCGATATAAACAATCTCAAAGGCAAAAATCTGCCGCGTCTCTTCCTTCCTTTGCGCCAGACTTTCATGCTCGACACTTGCTTGTCCCGCCGGACCGGTTGCGGAAGGGCGCAGAGTCTCGGATGGCTCATTCGCCACACAATGCTTGAAAGATCTTGTCTCCCGACACGGGCATCTGGTCTGTATGACTCAACATCTCCGCAAATCAGCATTTTCAGCAGCTGCAATCAGCTCTCCGCAACAATGGCAAAATATCTTGGCCAACAATCGAGAGTCTCCTCGTCCCCCGACCGACCAAACTTTATTTATATGAGCGTTGACGATGGTCGGCGCCTTCGTTTTCGAAGCCGATCCGGTAGGGATAAAGTCACGGCTGTGTTCAAGCTCAGCGGGTCAACGTTTTGTGCAATTGTATGAGCTTTTTTTTTTTTTTTAAAAGGGTATTTCTCTTTCTTCTTCAAGCTAAGCAGCATCAGCAAAGCCATCAACACCACCGAAACACCCGTGAAAGAGAAGCATGCACGACGTATCCTTTTTTTTTTCTCCCGCCAGAAGGAAGCAAGGCCATAATAACTAAGAGGTTTCGTATGTGCATCAGGTGTCCACCAGTGCCTGGTACAGTTGAGTTTTTTTCTGTCATGGTTTACGCCTCCTTAACAGAGAACCCTTCAGGTATCATCCTGGGCACTCACCGGGAGAAGGGGGCCTACACCTTCTGGTCCTACGCCCTGGGCTTCCCCCTGGCCAGCAACTCCATCCTCAGCTGGAAGTTCTGCCACGTGCTGCACAAAGTCCTGCGCGACGGCCATCGCAATGTAAGATCAGGTTTTGTGACTCATCATTCAAAACGCACACAAAAAATCAACAAAACATGTCGTTAAATACTTAAGTGCATTTGGCGTTCCTTCACAGGTGTTACAAGACTGCTTGAGACATTTCAGTTCTATTGTGGAACTCGGCCAGCTTTGGGTGAGTCTGTTTGTCTCATGGTAGGCAAGGAAAGTTTATTTGTGTAGCGGCGTTCATACGCGAGGAAAATCGATCCAAGTGCTTTAAAGAGGCAACGGACGGAATAATCATTGAAAGCAGTCAATGAAAAGATGTCTGGACGTCGAGCGGGTCCCTTTTAAACATGGAAAGCGAGTAGCATGCTAACAAATTACTGCTTCACTTTGAGAGCTTGTTCTGGAAATGCTCAATTAGCCTAAGAGGTCTGGAAGTCTCGGGGACCTAAATGGTCTAAAACATATTTAGATCCAAGACCATTCAGAGCTTTGTAGACCAACAGTAAGTTTTAAATGGATTCTTTGACTCACAGGAAGCCGGTGTCGAGATTTTATGACCCGCACGATGTAGTAAGAAGTCGAGCAGCAGCATTCTGGACCGGGTGCAGCGGTCTCGATTGTTTTTTTGGTCAGACCTGTAAAAATCTTGTTTCAAATGATCCAACATGCTGGAATTGAACGTGTGAATCAGGTGCAACGAGTGATGCGATTTATAAAACGATGACCTGACATAGCAGTTTAATATGAACAATATTCTGCAGTCGCTTACCTTCGTAGCGCACAGCGCATTGTATTTTTTATTTTTTTATTTATTTTTTTGTGACCATGCCTTGTCAAAAAACATTCAGACTTTTAATCCCGATGTGACATAATGCTGCACGGCTACTCCGGAGTGTGAGGAAGAGGCATTTCAACGCGATACTTTTCAGACATCTCAAGTGCCCAAGAGAGTTGCCGTTTCCGAACGAAGCAGTAGAGGTCGCTGTTGGATTAGACTTCGTTGTAGTGAATCTCGTCGCGAGGCAAGAGCAGAGAAAAAGATTTCGTATAACGCAACAGGGTTTTTTTTTTTCGTTGTATGGGGGGCAGGAAAGTGGGAATGGTGTTAATGCATGAAGATTTTTTCACACTAGGGGGTATTTTCGCCCATGTAAGTTTCGTTGTAGAGGAGTTTCACTGTATGCGCTGTATGTGTTGCTGCTCCGCATGTCTTGAAGCAGAAGTTGCTTTAAAGTTTATGATTGTTACATCAATAGTAATTTCTGTTCGTCTCTCGTGTCAGTTTTACAGTCAACTTTATTTGGGAGTGACAAATAGCTTGGCACAAACACGATTGGGTTCTTATTTGGAGAACTTTTCAACCAAGAGTCGTCCCCCCCTGCCACCCCCCCTCCCTCAAATTGGTGTTGTATGCTAGCCTCCCATTTTGTTGGCGCTGATAAATATTTGCTTAGTTTTCATAAGGTTCTAATGTGTGTCGCAAGGCCAAATGTTATGATATACTCTCACGGACTGTCACCTACCACAGTTTGGTCTGCAATCTGTCTTTTGAAATAAATGTGGAATTACTGTCATTTTGAAATGCTTCCGTTGTATTTTTTTCCCAGGGCAATATTCACGATCGATACGGTCAGCTGGTTGCGCTCTATTCCAAGCTGCTCTGCACCAAAATGAAGTTTCACAACAAGGTGAAGGGGCGTCCCGGCTCACGTGACCCGCCCCGGCATGACACTGAAATTGACCACGCTATCCCCATCTCTCCTTTTTTGTCAGCACACTGAAATCCCCACCAATTTGGAGGCCACGGATGAAGTGCTGGAGCGCACAGCCGGGACGGACATCAACAACGTGTGAGTCCGTTTAACATTCTAAAAGCGTGGCTTGTAAATTTAGCTTTGTTGATTCGCTTCGCATCCTCTGTGTGCCTCCTCTCTCTCGTAACGAGCCTCTCAAATTGTCTCCCGGCAGCTTCCAGCTCACCGTGGAGTTGTTTGATTACATGGATGTGGAGCTGAAGTTGGCTGAGACAGGTAAAAATCGAACCCCCCCTTAAAACACGAGATATGCGGCTTCAGATCAGTCGTTTTGTGAAGCCACCCAAAATGAAGTCGATTTTTTTTTTTTCCCCCCCTCCATTTAATGAGGAAGGGAGTTTCCGTCATGTGGCCTCCTTTGAACTTATTTCCTACTTCGTTTTCCCCTAAATGAGTTGCATCTGATGGGGAAATGCCAGCCAATTAGAGGACATTAAATCGGTTTCCTCCTCTTCACTTGTAATGGGAGACGCCCAGGATCTTGTCACAACTAACAACTTGAACACTCAATTGTCGAGACTGTCCTGGAAATGTTCAAAATTCCACACTTTTTTTTTTTTTTAGGGAATCTCAAACATGTTTAAGCATAATTTATATTAATTCACACAACCTCATTTTATGTCAATCCAGTTGAATTTCTTAGCTCACATGACTTTTAAATGAAATGTGTCACAAAAGACAAATTTCGTCACCCCAGGTGCTCTGTTAACATGACTGAAGGTTGACAATTCATCATGAGACTGTTACTTTCCGTGCATGACTTAATTGGGGTTTAAATAAGTATATGTGTGTACCGCACTCCCCCTCAGTGCTGCGGCAGCTCAATTCGTCCATCGCCATCTCCACGCTCACGTCGGGCCAGTGTCGCCTGTCGCCGCTTATACAGGTCATCCAGGACTGCAGTCAACTCTACCACTTCATGGTCAAGCTGCTATTCAAGCTGCACGCATGTAAGGACACGCAGATGTACCCATTTAAATAGCCCGGGCTTCCACGTAATCGATGAATGTCTCCTTTGGTGGATTTCAGGTCTCCCTGCTGACACTTTACAAGGACACCGGGATCGCTTCCGGGACCAGTTCCAGAGGTACATATTGGAGGTTGGGTCGTGTCCTTCGGGCTGCACGTGGTGTCAAGTGACTGTAACGCACAAAGGAAAGTGTGCAACATAAGCCAGTCGACCACGATGCCCCACCCCCCCAACCTCATTGTAGTCTGACAATTCACCTCATGTGTGACGCTGTGAAATACGAGTGGATCGTTTTGAAATATGAATATCCGAGCGATTAGGTTAGCAAAATGAAGTAGGCTCCACGTCGGAAAACTCTATCAAAACAGCACAGTGCTTCCCAAACTTCTGTTGCCACGTTTGGCAATTATTTTTGCAGAACCCCACCTGTATGATCACAATAATGATTGACGGGTGATGGTGGCGTCCTGTTTTCTGCTTTTGCGCCCCACAGCCTCAAGACTTTCTTCAACAGAGCCAGAGAGATGCTCTACTTCAAGAGACTCATCCAGATCCCCAGACTGCCTGACGTAAGATGTTGTCATCGTTTACTCACATAGTGGACAGCGCACATATTTCTCCTAATGCCACGAGTCATCAAACTGGAAAGTCTTAAAATACCAGTGAACGCATCGGATATTTATTTCTAGCAGTGGCGGCAAGTAATAAAGTATATACTCGTTTACTTTTTTTTTCAGGTATTTGTTTAACAGTAAACGTCAACAGGTCGTGGCATTCTAAAGCTTGAAACCTCTTTTTTTAAATGAGTTAAACTGCTATTTGTTGCGAAGTGAGTTTGCTGCCACCGTCTAGTCCTTCTGCCTCCAATTTAGTCATCTGAAGTTTTACTTCAATACAAAGTGTGAGTACATTTTGATCAACACATGCCAAACATGTTCATTTTGTTTCCTGTCGTCAGTCACCGCCCAACTTCCTGCATGCGGCCTCACTGGCCAAGCACGTCAAGCTGGTGGTGGTCATCCCCGACGAGGACGACGGCGATGACGACGACGATGACCCTGAGCCGCTCATTGACGTCAGTGACGCCGCGAGCACGCAAAGCGGGCCGCAGCCCGACATCTTTGATCAGGCCTTCGGACCGCCCAACGGAGGCTTTGACGACAGGTGCCAAGTCACGCTTGTGATCTATGACATGTAGGATGTTCCGTTTTAGTTTATATTAGTTGTCTTCCAGCACACGACGGGCAAATGAAGCCACCGTTAATTTAGTTGGTAATCACGCGTCAATCGGCGAGCGGAGGAATATATTTCACACATCTCAAGGCAAGCCGAAAAACAAATGTCACAAATAGTGGATACACAGGTGCCATCTAGTGGAACAGCATTTAATTGTTCTACCTGTCACTATATGTTGCTGACATGGACAGATAAAGAAACATGATCCGTCTTAAATAAATAATTTTAATCCCAATTAAATGAAATTGGAAATTTTTCCACAGCACACCTGAGAGCTCCTTGGCACACTTGTTTGGAATGACGGCCATACAGGAGTCCAAACTGAGGACCAGACTATATTTCCATGTCAAGATCTCGCTTACTGTTAAAACAAACAGCAACAAACAAGAAAACGACAACATTATTTAAATAAAACCGACACGTCTTCCTCGTGCAGAAAAAATGAAATCCACTGCAGCCTCATTGTATACAACAGGTCAAAAATAGGGGAAAAAAATATATGCAGTGTCAAACTTTGAAAAAAGACGATTCAGGTCACAGACAAGGAAGAGACATCTTGTAATACGACAAAAATATTTTGGAAAAAATAGTTGATTTTAGAAAAACTGTTGTAATGTAGAAAGTAGTCAATTTTCTGAGAAAAAGCTGTTATATTAAAAGAAAAATAGTCATCATTTTCAGGAAAGTAGTTTGTTTTTTTTTCCAGATATTGAGCAAATGGTGTGATGATTTTTCTGGTCATGTAACATTGCGAAATCCCATAAGAATTTTTATATCTCATGAGATGTGGTTGTAATTTGATTTATTCCTGTTATTTACTGTGGCATTACATTTTATTCTCTTGGCTCCAGTATAAAACTTGACTTCCTTTTTAGCCCCTGACATCCAATATGGTGACTCACTCATTGATTACACGTGACAATTGTTTCAACGTTTTTTGTTGTTGTGATGCGACAGGGATCTTCAGATTGAGAGCCTCAAGCGGGATCTGGAGCTGTTGCGAGCCGAGCTGGAGAAGGTGAAAGCGGAGGTGAGAAGCGCTGTCGTGACCGACACCACCCCTTTGTTTGGGCACCTGTTGGGCGGATGCAAAATATCTCTTCCCCATTTGTGGAATGTGGCGAGCATGTGTGTCATGCTTCCTCTGATTCATTTAAAGCGGTGGTCCCCGCCTACAGCAATAGAAGTAACAACAAATTCAATGCTAGTACAGTGACGTTTTGTTGATTATTTCTCACCCTCCTCCAGGCCCAGCGCTACATCACGCAGCTCAAGTCGCAGATCAACAGCCTGGAGGCGGAGTTGGAGGAGCAGCGGTCTCAGAAGCAACGCGCCCTGGTGGAAAATGAGCAGCTCCGCATGGCCCTGGAGGCGGCTCGCCGCCGCAACGCCGAGCACGAGAGCCTGCAGAGCACCTTCATTGAGGCGGAACGTAAGACTTCCACTACTCTGGATGTATTACACCACTCAGGAAAAAAAAAAGTTGCCGATATTTGGCTTCTGGATGATTTTTAAAAATGCACTAGAGTGTATTTAGGGGATGGCTCGTGTGTGTTTGTGCAGAAAGAGCCCAGGCCACAGAGCAACGCTACACTAAGCTGAAAGAGAAGCACACAGAGCTGGTGGCCAGTCATGCCGAACTACTTCGCAAGGTAAGGCGCGCCACAAAAAAAAAAAAAGACTACACAACGTAAATAAATGAAAGTACTGTAAAATGTGAGAGTGTTGAGATGATTGAAAATAAATAAATGAAGAATCAACTGAAATGTGCGCGCATATGGTGAAGACTCGACGAAATGTACACCAACAGCCCGTTCGAAATTTGGCTCCTCGTTGACGTACAAAGTTAGCGCTCTGTAGAGATGCATCGCATCAACAAACGTCCTTGCGGGATTTTCAATGGACGGGGAGCAGACGTCACAAACGCTAACCGTGCGCCATTGCCGACAGAGTGCCGACACGGTGAAGATGCTGTCTGCCACGCAGCAGACTCAGGAGGAGGTGGCGAGGACCAAACAGCAGCTGGCATTCGAGGTGGATCGGATAAGGCAGGAAGCCGACATGAAGGTCGGTTGGTGTTCCGTCGTCACGCAAGCACCTTTGCAGCGTCGCCGTTTGCTTTCCTTTTCAAGCCAAAAATGTTTTGTTGTAGATGGAGGAGCAGAAGTTTGAGATGGAGAAGCTGAGAAGAGAGCTGTCGGAGAAGATGGCGGAAATAACGCGCATCAAGGCCACCCTGCAGAGCAGCGAGATGGTGAGTTGATATCTTGACCTTGGCACCAAGGCGGGTTTTCGGAGAACACTTTTCAATATGAACTCTCTGTTTACAACTTTAGCAATGCAATGGGGAGGGTTTTTTTTTTTTTTGTATTTTTAATGTCTTAGCATTTGGGGAAAGTGCTAGTACACATTTTTGTCCATCTATGATGTCACATCAATTTGTACTGGCTTACATTTGATGAGCCTCGTAAAGTGAACTGAACTACTAAATAGAGTCATTTGTGGAACATGGGTTTGATTGTGTACAAGCTAGTTGCATGGTGTTGATGCTTTATGATCCTCCCCCTTTTCAATGCTATGCCCGCCACTTTTGACATCAACCTCAACTGTATATGCAATTTAAAAAAAAACTTTAGGGTGTCAATTACTCCCACATTTTCATTATTTGCAGCAGGATTGGCTCCGAAGCAAATTCAACAGTTAGTGTTATGTGTATTACGATTAAAGATTTGCGTTTACTTCTGTACTTCCTGACTTTTCAGTCTGTACTCAAGGAGTTAAATCAGTACTTATTTTCCACAAGTCTTTTTTTTTTTTTTCTTTTTTTTAACACATTACTGAATATGTACTCCCACTTGCATAGTCTGATTGCCTTTGCGACGTCTGCTTTGTCGTTCTCTTGCAGAGTTCTGCTCAGGTCAGCAGCACCATGGTCGCTCTGCAGGCGGAGAAGGAGCGTCTGATGCGCTCGGTGAGCGAGAAGGAGGCCGAGCTTTCGTCCGTACGCCAGAGCGCGCAGTTGCAGCAGTCCACGGTGCAGCAGGAGAAAGACAAGAGCAGCAAGGAGCTCAGTGAACTGCAGGCCAGAAGCTCCTGGACGAGCAGTTTGCCTTGCTGCAGGGCACCGTCACAGAAGCTGAGAACATCATCCAAGATGCAGTCGCCAAGCTGGACGATCCCCTCCATATCCGTTGCACCAGCTCCCCAGGTCACGCCGCTACCCTGTGATCGACTTCAGTCAACCTCCCTCTCTATTCACAACGCCTGGTGCTCTTCTTGAAACGCCAAAAGATGGTGTCAAACCCTCTCTAACAGAAAAGTCGTCTTGATGCCAAATAGTGGCCCCTCAACACCGCAAATAGCCGCTGCGTACTGTACTTTAGAATAAACGAATGTTCTTCTTGTCTTTCAAACACAGATTACCTAATCAGTCGAGCAGAGGTGGCACTGAGCTCCATTGATAAAATGAAAAAAGGCCAAGCGGACTACGTCAAAGACATGAAAGGTAAATGTCTCATCGAAAAGTGGAATCATACCGCCGCTGACGCGAAATTGTGTTCTTGCTTTCATTCAGACGCCGGAGCGCTGCTGAAGTCGCTGACTCACTTCTCCCACGCGGCCGCTGACACCATCGTCAATGGCAGCGCCACCGCGCACATGGCGCCCACCGACCACGCGGATCGTAAGCAAGACGCAATTATTGGATGTGCTGTAAACCTCCCTCATGGGGGCGACCTTTAACTTCGCATTTTTGGTCGTTGGCGCTATGGTGATGAAAATCACATCATCTTATTAATTACGTCACTTGCGTTCTTGCTTCAGTACAGAATGCTTTGTGATGCAGTCTAGCAAGCAAGCCTGCAGTGTTTTTCGTGGAGAGTTGCTAGAGATTTATGTGATCCGACCGTCTTTAAGACCTCGACAGCGCCTGTGATTTGAGATCGAATGATTGGGACGGAGTACGGCCAGCGGAAGAAAGAAAAGGATTGCTAGCTGTGGCAACTCCGAGATGAAGACATTTCGCTCATTGGATGTTTTCTTTGGCGACAGTAACCGTTCGTTTTTACGATGAAGAGGTTTTGGATCGAGCTTCGGGAAATTATCTGTCTTTTCACTGTTACACGAAGGCGTTGGATGAATCCACTGACGCATAGATTTATGGTTGCTAGCGTTAGCGGATGCCTTTTTCAGGTGGGCCACACAGTACTTGTGCTTAGTTTATATTGCGCATTGGCTTGCAGAATTTGCAGCGTGCTATTGGCCCCATTTTAAACATTTTTAATAAGACAAGTGCAATATAAATACAATAGTCACAGTACTATTCTTTCACATAGTACTTGCTTTCGTCTGTATTTTTGTCCTCTATACATGTGAAAATGATCAATAAGCGACAAATACTGGAAAATTGTCCTCATTCTGGTCATGTTATCTGACTAAATGTGCTGAAATGTTGAGTTCATTTTCAATGTCGCTGAAGTGAGGATAAAGCAATTGAGGAGGTGGGTGGATGGTAAATGACAAATGAGACCTTGTCTCACCTACAGGACTGACGGAGAACTGCAGAAGCTGCGCCACTCAGTCTCTGCTGTACTTGAAGGAGCTCAAGTCCAAGGGCACGCTGCTCAGGGCCGACCCAGCCTCTATTCGAGTCATCATCCACAAGATCCTGGGCCTCGGCCAGGTAAGCCGGCATGGCGCGGCGCGGCGTAAGCGTCCGACGATGAGCCAACGCACGTGAACCGAAATTGTGTTAATGCGTGTAGGAGCTGCGACCCAAAGGCATGGACGTCCGCCAGGATGAGCTGGGAGATCTGGTTGACAAGGAAATGGCCGCCACCTCTGCGGCCATCGAGGAGGCCGTCCGCAGGATTGATGTGAGTCGGGCTGCTAGCTAGAGTGAAGTAGTAGGAGTGTGTTTGTCCATTTTATTTTTTGGGGGTGGGCGGAGGGGTCTGCATGTGTGTCTCTGGATTGTTGCGTGTGTGTTACTCCTTGGATGTGACGGCTTTCTTTGTTGTGTGTGGGATCCCTTGCGCCTGCGTGTGTTGTTTGTTCCTAAATATGTGTATCCTTGTGATTACAGGAAGTGATGAATCAGGCGCGGAAGGATACGTCGGGAATCAAACTGGAGGTCAATGAAAGGTTTGTTCATTGGAATCCAAAACAAACATCGCCACCATTTGTGTTTCATTCAGGCTCCACCCACTCTATTTGGCACAGTAAAAGTCTGATTACTAATTTAATCAGCTGATTTTAAAAAATATAATGAATTATTTTTTTTTTGGGGGGGGGGGCCTTAACACAACAATTTAGATGTCCTTAACAAGACATAAACATTGTCCAAATTGTGTTGGCAGTGCCTTTTACGACATAATCACCGCAAGAATTTATATTTTCTACGAATATTTACTGTGACGGCATGAATCGCAACATTGGTGCCTAATCATGGCGTCTACTTTTTTCTTTCAGGATCCTCAACAGTTGCACAGACCTCATGAAGGTATGCTTGACTTTGACGTCCTTCTACTCGCCCCCGTTTTTTTTTTTTTTTTTGGCCATCCTGAAATGTGTGTTGTCGTTTGCGTCCCGTGTTGTAGGCTATCCGCATGCTGGTCCTTGCCTCCACGGAATTGCAGAAGGAGATCGTGGAAGGCGGCAGGGTGAGTGGCGTCGTCCTCTGTGAGTCCTTGAAGCAACACGTTTCTCCATCAAAAAAAAAAAAAAGAAAAGTTTGCTTTTGTTTAGGGCGCGGCCTCCGTCAAGGAGTTCTACGCCAGGAACTCTCGCTGGACCGAGGGACTGATCTCTGCGGCCAAGGCCGTGGGCTGGGGTGCCACGGAGATGGTGTAAGTTCCGCTCGACAACGTGTTCTCTTGATTAGCTGAGAGAACCAATTGGGTGTATTTCACCGGCCGCCAACAGAGAGTCTGCTGACAAGGTGGTGCTGCACACGGGCAAATATGAAGAGTTGATCGTCTGCTCCCACGAGATCGCTGCCAGCACTGCGCAACTGGTTGCCGCCTCCAAGGTAAGTGCAAGAAACGGGAGCTGTTTGACAAATGTTTTGGGTGTGTGTGTTGCGCGTCTGCTCTTCAGAATCCGATTGATCGGCTCCCGTTGACTATTTCGAGTATGTTTTCAGGTGAAAGCGGACCGTCACAGCAAGAGGCTGACGGTGCTCCAGCAGGCCTCTCGCCTGGTCAACGAAATGGCCGCCAAAGTGGTGGGCTCCACCAGGACGGGACAAGAAGACCTGGATGACAAAGGTACGCCCGCTCTGTCGGGCGTTTACTTCGGCAGCCGCGTGTTGAGCCTCGAGCCGATGGGTCATTGTGTTGTGTGTCGTGTGCAGATCCCATGGACTTCTCTGGGATGTCGCTCATCAAGTTGAAAAAGGAAGAAATGGAGTCGCAGGTAATGTATGGCATTGGGTGAATTGTGGGCCTCGTATTTATCATGGCTTCATAGGTTTGAAGCATGTTTGGTCATTTAGCAACCACCAAAACAACTACATATATTCTTACTGTCTGAAATGTCTTTTCCTTCGTTGTTTTTTCGTTTGTTTGTTTTTTGTAAAACGAAGCCTATTCCGTCCGGTGAGGAGGGTGTACAAAAAAAAAATTTTTCCTCTCATTTACTATCCATCTGCCAATAAAACATAAAGGACAGGAAGAGTTAGCATAGGAAAAAAGGAATTTGCAATTGCATGCTCAGGAAATGACTCCAGAAGGACAATTTGGGCTCCGTTTTTCTGAGTGCAACTTCAGTACGCACTGTGGCCCCCTGTTGGTTTGAATGTGCCAATGTTTCTGCAGGTGAAGGTACTGGAGCTGGAGTCTCAGCTCGATAACGAGCGTCTGCGTCTGGGCGAGCTGAGGAAGCAGCATTACACTCTGGCCGGCGTACCCCTGGACCAGCTCCAGATGGCCGACGGCAACGGCGACTCCGACCCCTCCTCGTTGGTGTCCATGTCGCCCAAGTTCAACAAGCCGACACTTATGAAGAAGCCCGCACTGGCCCAGAAGCCTAACGTCCTGCTCAAGTCTCCGGTAAGTCTTTGGAAATTACCCACAAATATCGGAGGAGGACAAGAGTGGCTTTGTGGTAGCCACGGCAACCACAGTACTTTGAGGTTTTGGAATATTGGTGGACACCCTTTGGTGTTTGTACTGTTTTAATTTGATTAATATTTTCATGTTTTTTTATTGGCTTTATTTTAAAGTTATTTTTTTTTATTTATATATTCATAATTTTTTTTTTGAATGGTTTATTTTTAATCTCTATTCTTAAATCACTTGTTTCTTTTTTTTGTTCAAAGTGACTTCACTCTTTTCTTTTTACAGTTCAAGTGAAAGAGGAAAGCACAAAGAAGTGACGTCATCGTAGAACGTAAAATGCCTTACAGGAAAAAGAGGGAGAAAAATTAACATTTAGGTTGCTTGCTGACAATCCTGCTCTTGTATTAGTCATTTCCTTTTGCTAAAATGGACCAGAAGCTGCATATTCCTTTTAATGAATCCCTAATACAGCAGCAGTTTATCTGTTGTTTTATTTTAGCATTTGGCGCGACCCATTCAACATTTTTTTCCCCGCCTTTGTTAAGGGTTTTGCAACCTGGCAAAAATTCTAGATGCCGCTTTGAGAATAACAAGTCGTCTTATCTAAATTTTTTTTTTTTTGTTGACAAACCTTCTGCGTTGCCCTCACTGTGAAGACAGTGTCATCTCATCTGCAAAACTATGTTAACTCAGAGGCCTTTGGAATGTACTGCACAGAAGTGTTTTATTAATATTGATCATAATAATTATTAATAATAATTCATGTAAAGCCATACGCTTGTACAGCAAGTCCCAGCAAGAATAATGTATACATCTCATCTGGAATGGATACGTACTCTACACGCCAATCACATGTAGTTGCTTCTTCGAGGATGAATGTGGCTGTTTAGCACTGGGAGTTTTTCTTACAGGGTACTTATTATTATTGCATCACTTTATGCTCTTCTACTGTCTTTATATAAACACACAGATCTAGTTGGAAATATTTTAGAAAAGATCATGGTGTTTGTCCTTATCCCAAGTGTAAATGTCCAACAAATTAAATAAATGTTTAATTCAATGACTTGGCTTTTTTTTTTTTTTGACAATTTAAATCCAGCCATTAACTTTTTCGACAATATTTGGTTACCGTAAATATATTTTTCTTTTCCATTTTTCTGCTCCTTAAATGTCTCCCCACACAACACACCCATAACTTTTGAAGTAGGTTTTGATGAGTAATTTTTAGTTTTAATTTAAAGTTTTAAATTCATTTCAAATAATCAAAAATAAATTTTGAAAGGTAACCTTTTTTGTTTTAAAATTTGCCCCAGTGGAATCTAGTGATAATTTTGTGTATTTTTTACACATGATTTTAATACACAATACATTTTTTTCATGAAAGTGTTTACTATAGGGTAATAGTTTAATACGTTAAATAGTCAACTGTATTTAATTATCTATAAACAACATTGATCCGTTAATACCGCCAACAGCGACGCATTTGTAATCTTCTCACGAAGCGACTGAAATCCGATTCTGACACGTTTCTCCGGCCAGTTTGCCAGGCATACGCTGCTGCATTCAGAAGTTGTTGTAAAATTTCCTCCTCACGTTCAATTTTTGATAAAGATACTGTAGTTGCAAGAATACTGCTGTTCTGAAGACAACACAGTCCCGTGCTATACATTCTACAGACGTAATATTCTATAGTGGCTTTTGCGCGCAAGTCGTTGAAATTAATAGAGAGGCAGAATCGACAATGTCTGATAAATACGAGCTTTGTCGCGAACCGTGAATGCATCGTCAAAAGTTAAAGTTGAATCTGTCAACAAACTCGACCAAAAGTAGTCCCACGTCGTCGAGCCCTCGTCGCGGTCCTTCACGATACCAATTTAAAATGTGACACGACCGTTCCGTGGAGGAATAGGAAGAGTTCCGAGGCTTTGGTTTTCGTAGCGCTACACGTTATATCATGTCTGCGCTGGAGAAGCCCTGGTCCGACCTGACCGTGTTGGACGTGTACGACATCGCCGCGGCCCTGGCGCAGGAGTTCGAACGAACCATCGAGCGTTTCGGCTGCGAAACTCTGGCCGGCGTGGTCCCCAAGGTGGTTCGAGTTCTGGAGCTCCTGGAGACGCTGGTGGGCCGCCGCGTAGACGCCGCCGCCGGCGGACAGGAAGCCGACGAGCTGCGGCGGGAGCTGCTCCGACTGCGGCAGGAGCGCAACGACAGGACGGCGCAGGAGAGGAAGCACCACCAGGTCAGCGCTAAGACGAAAAGGACGGACGATCGACCTCCGCATACTCGCGTTTCAACATCCGCTGACCCGTATATTCACCGATTTTTAAACGCCTCCCCCACAATCTATTGTGGTTCTTTTGGTTCTTGTCAGGCGTTGGAGCAGGTGGAAGACGTGTGGAGAGCCGAGGTTGAGGATCTCCTCTCGCAGATGTCTCAGCTACAGGCGGAGAACAAAAAGTTGCTGTCCAGCCGAGCTTTGAGCAGAGCCCCAGTCGAAGATCAGGACTTGGCTCAGCAAGATGAGGGTGGGTGTTGCTGTTGCTGTTAGTGTCACTATACATTCAGTCACATGGGAACGCACAATTTGTGTTTGCTCGTTGATGGCAAAACATATAAGCGGCCAAATGTGGCAGACGCAAGCTTGCACAGGAGGTTATTTTTGAAGATGCTGTTGTCATGTTGACAACAGCTATATTTACCGAAGCGCGCAAACAGTGCAAAGCTATATTTCCTCCTGTCCTACTGGTAAATATAATGCATCGTCACAGGAATGGTGGAGAAGGAAAAGCAAGTGATGACAAGACTCAACAGGTTGGTCGAGAAGCAGAGGCACGAAATCCAGGCCAAAGACCATGAGCTGACGCTAAAAAACGATGACATCGAGGCGGTGAGTGTCTTCGCAGACCCACAAAAAAAGTCTCAAGAACACATACCTGAGATGACAGTCAGCCGTTTTAATGTGAAGTGGACATTTTAGGGTCATTTTAAAGGTCCTCTTTTTTTCCTTTTTTAAATGAGCTCTGGCAAATGAAATTTGGGAAGACATGTCTATGAGTAGACTGACAAAAAAAGTCTCACAATATGTTGAGAGGTTCTTTGGTTTAATTGGGGGGAGGGATTCAGTCCCCGAACCTACTTTTACTTGGCAACATCAACTTTGGTAGACATGTCCATCACAAATAAGTCCACAAAGAAAGTCCCAAGACCCCATGCCTGAAATGACACAAGAAGCCGACCATTTTCATTTGAATTGGTGATTCGTTTACATCCACTGCAGTTTCTTCAGCCTCCTTGTGACAGTTTGTTGTCCATTCAGCTCCAGATGCAGCAGCACCGTCTGATCCGCATCAATCAGGACCTCCGTCACAAGCTTGGGACGATGGAGCTACACAGCAAGGCGGCCATGCGGCAGCGGGCCGAGCTGGAGGCGGCAGCGCAGGCCCGTCGGCGCGAAATGGACGACCTGCGGCAGGAGTTGAGACAGTTGAGGAAGGAGCGGCAGGAGTGGGAACTGGAGAGGGAGGTGGCCAAGATGGAGGAGAGGTTTCCATTGCCGCCCAAGGCGTCTCCACAGGTGAGAGAAAAGTTTCCTGGAAAACCACGTGAACATTCCATTTTGGTTTGTCTCTTTAAAATGGAGCCACTTAGAACAATAGTGGGCTAACTCCATTTTTGTCAGGTTTAAGTTGTGTGCAGAAAAAAATAGTAGCAAGGCAATAAGATAAAGACTGCGCTTACTCAGTAATTTTAGCTTGCGCGCCAGTGCCACCGCATGCTCGTCTGAGTGAATGATGTCTATCATATTACATGAAATACTACTCGAGTTGACAGGCCGTTGGACTTTGACCACTAGTCTTTTAGTAGCAGCTATTGGAAAGCAGACATAAAACTTGAAATCACACTCCTGCAAAATAAGAAAAATTGAGTTCGTCCGGTGTAGTTCTCGGTGGCTTGATTCTAACTATACTTGCTACCGTATTTGGCGTTTGTTTGAGAAGTCGGTGTTTTTCGGATTCTACCGTCCGCTGCGATATGCGCCACAACAGCAAACCAAGATGCCAAACATGCAATGTTTATTTTTTTTCTGACTGTTTGCATTTTTCATTTCATCTTTTGTCTAATGGATTCATTTCATTTGCGTTTGTCGTCAAATATTTTGTCTAATACTTTTACATTTTCTCATCATCTCTTATGCTATTATTTGAGTAGTATTGTCAAATACTTGATTTTTTTTTTCATATTTTTGCGATTTTTCAATTTTCATTTTCTTCTAATATTTTCATTTTCATCTAATATTTTTTCTGAGTCTTATGCTTCAGCTGTGGTTAGAGTGTGCAAGTGTCCCTCTAGTTTTGACTTTTTTCCCCCGTGTCCCACGTTGAGGCCTCTGACTGTGTCATGGCGGACTCAGTATGGGTCGAGTGCGGAGGAGATCCCGACGACTCAGAGAACATTCCGAACTTCCTCAGCAGCTCAGCACACGGAGATGGAAACACAAGTCAGCAGGACGCAGATAAGTCTGTCTTCTTACCGGTAAGACAGACACCATCATAACTAACAAAGACAACAATAATAATAATTATCATTCTTTTTTTTTTTGTAACATTGGTGTACACAGTATTTCATGCGTGTTGTTTCATCCGCAGGAGAAAGTGCCTGAGAAGGAGGAGGAAGAGTCAGAAGCTCCTCACTTCACTCTGCAGGAGCTCCGTGACGTCCTGCAGGAGCGAAACCAACTCAAGGCTCAAGTGTTCCTCCTGGAGGAAGAGCTGGCCTATTACAAAAGGTCCTTTTTTTAAAATAATCAAGGAAAAATCCATTTGAAACAAACCACATTGAGTTACACCTCAGATGACAGGTATTGATGAGGACTTTCCATATCTGTTTGTATTTTATCATTACAACTCAATATGGTGAGTCAGTGGCCATAATCTACACTCATGAATTTGGTGGACATATCGAACTGATATGCCGAACTGATAAATTTTTGTTGGTGATTCATCACTTCCCAAAAGAAATCATATAAGCTCTGCTGGTAATGACGCCGCAAAATCCAATTGTAACAATTAGCCTGGAGTCAGACTTCAAATCAAAGGTTTTGGTAAGAGCTTCCAATATAGGTCATTGTTTGTTGTCGATATGAGCTCATATGTTGATGTATTGACCAAAATTTTTTTTTTTTTTTAATTGAAAATGACACATTAAACTCAGAAATCAACCAAAATGACCTAGAATTATTATCCGATCATTTCTAAACTTGGTGGACATCGAGTAGGCCGATAACTTCTCATCTGACTAGATGACAGATGGATTAGGTAGAGATTAGTCTTTATCGTCAGAGGTAGCTCACCATTCCATGAAAAGCCAAAAATCCTTTTCGCATCAAACCAGTTTGAGTTTTCACCAGTGAGATTATTTTGTCAACATGACATGAAGACTAAAAATGTTCGTTCACTCTGTTGCCCGTCTCCAGTGAGGACTTAGAGGAGGATGTCAGCTCCTTCCTTGGTGCTTCATCTTCATCGACGTCGCCATCGCTGCCCTCCACAGATCAGCCTGAATCTGGAATACGCCGCCTGTGAGTGTAACACGTTCACATATCTCCCCAGAAAAAAAAGCATTTGTGCATCGGAAGACGACCCCCCCCCCCCCCGCTTTTCCTTTCCAGGATCTTCACCGCCATCATGCCCATGGTTGCCGCCGGTTTAATCGCCGACGACCCGACGTTGCTGCCAATCAGACGCCTCGTTTCCTCTGTATGACTTTTTAAATTACGCTGCTCACAGACAGTTCAGGGGTGTTAGGCTTAATCCGATACTTTTGAGCCTTGTATTTGCTTTGGATTTGCAATTACCTGCCAACATGTGGGAAGATGCCAACAGATGTACAGGCAATTCTTCAATTTTTAGTATTTAATTTATTGAAGAGACAACGCTACTTATATATTACTTGTTACAAATATATTTATGTGTGAGCCACTGAGAAGTAGAATGGGCCAACTCAATTTTTGTCATTTTAGGGCTACAATCAAATCTCGGGAATTTATATCTATCTCTTCCGGGTCCCTTTTTTGGAGGGGGGCATATTTTTTTTCTCTTTTAGTGTATTCCACACATCTGTCAAATTGATCAATAATTCAACAAAGACAATTAATAATGTACTGGTTACTAAGGTGCAAATGAAGTGGCACACAAGCAAAAGCACTACTTACTACTACGTCTTTTACTAGTCTCTGCAGTGATGAATCCGAGAAAGTGCCAAGTGCAATTATGGACTCTTGCCCATACAGCAACAAATACAGCGTTAGCCCATTCTAGCTCTCTGTGGCTGATTTAAAGAACAGCAACTAAATAATATATAACAACGTTAATGAGCATCAGTGGTGTAAGATGTGCTAGCCATGCTCAAGTCAAGCCAATTTGACACATTTGTCGACGAGATGCAGTCAGCCAAATCCGCTGTACAAATTTCAGGTGCTTTAATGTTGTAATAAAGCTTTAATTTTTCATTTGTTGTCTATTTTCGTGTTTGAACAGTAACAGGGATACGTTAAATGCTAATTTCACTTTCTATATTTTTGCCCTACATAAAAAAAAAAATAACAAAATTTTTAAAACTTGATAGTAAGATGCATGATTATCCAAAGATGTTGGAATTAAGTGTTCATTTATACCGTAAGAATGCAATTGTTCATCCATTCATGATCCGGGCCGCTTACATTTTTTTATAATAACGTTTTTCTTTCAGAAGTTACACTCAATTGAAGTAGCTTCACTGTAGTTTTTACTTTTGTCACTTTGCAAATTCATTTACTATACATTTGTCAGTGGGTAACTTCAAGAGTAGTTAAGATACATTTCATGTAGAATAGCTTGTAGTTTCGCTGGCTACATTTTCCAAGTAGCTTGCCCAACACTGGCAGCAGCCCTTTCACGCACTTTTCATAGCAATTGGGTAGCATTCTGTTGTTCACAAAATTTACTGCTCGGCGCAAGTGAACTCAGCATTTTGGCGTGTTTGGAGTCGCTGGTTGCCATGGTGATTGGAGAAAAAAGATGGGAGCGCTCCAAGACAGATCCCGGCGCGTCATCTGCTTGACGTTCCAGCCTTCGGCATGCTATTGGTTACCCATTTTGCTTCTAGCGGGCTTCTAACGCCTTTAGCATTGACGCTTTAGTCAGAGCACACTCCAAAGTGGGTTTACAATTCAAAGCAGTACCAATTCATTTCCAAACTGGACCTCTTTATGTGGCGAAACAGTACGAAAAGCGAATGTTTAGCCACTATTACCAACGGTAAACTTCGACTTTAGTTCGCTAGAGAGTGAAGGAATGGAGAGGAATCCTCTCAACTACGCTCGTTACTCTTTGTGCTCTCTCACCTGTAGCTAAGATACTAGCCCTCCTCTGCCGCCAGGGTAGCCCTCGCCATTGGCGGACGCGTCATGGGGGAAGTGCTGCTCCTCTGGAAGAAGTCACCCGCTACTGCCATAAACACCGTAGGGGAGCGACGAAGATAACGAACGGGCACTTCTAGTTCGCCCCCTTGTGAGCATGGACTTCCACGAGGAGTCGTCGCCCGCATTGGCGTTCGAAAAGGACGCCTTCGAGCTGACTGTGGAGGACGTGTACGACATCTCGTACGTTGTCGGACGAGACTTGTTGAGGATCAGCCGTACGGGCGAAGAGGTGTCCGACCTCCAATTTCGCATAGTCCGCGTGCTGGAGATGTTCGAGACGATGGTCAACAAGTACAACTTGTCCCTGGAGGAGCTGAAAATGGAGCGGGACAACCTCAAGAGCGAATTGGACCGCGTCGTCACGGAAAGCTCCACCGGGCAGGAAACGGTGAGGCAGTGAAAATAAATAACAGGAGTACGATTTAAGATGTATTTTTTTTTCCAAAGTTAAATGGAGTGGAGTTGACTGCCTAAATATGAGGATACGTTGTTGACTTCGATCAGCATCCTGATCTATAGTGCTCAAACCCAGAATACAGGAGAGTCGTGACAGTTGCAGTGCCACGGAGGGCACTGAACCTCACTTTCAATCGACAGCAGGGGGCGGTACAAGAGAAAATGGCTGTGCTCTGACATTGGTGAAAATCGATGGATGAATGTGCTTGATTCTCATTCTGTGAATGAAATAATAAGAATACCACGTTTAGACTAGTGGGGGGCACGTAGAATGTATTATTGTGAAGATTTGGGGGGCCTTTGAGTCCCCCTTTAAGGGGCGTGGCCTAGGAAGTGACGTGTGTCGCTTGAGTTGCATTGGTTAGTCTTCGTGTGAGTATGAGGGGGTGAGTTGCGGCCTCCAGTTTCTCATGAGTGTTCCCTTAATATTTGTGTGTTTGACTTTATGTCACAGACAGTGAAAGGCTAAGAGCGCATCAGCGATTAAGGCTCTCCTTGCCCACATGCAAGGACATTAGAGTACAGCATATTTAAAATGAGCTACTCATGGATTCACCTAAGTTGTTTGTTTGTTTTTCCCACCTATCGTCTGATTAAAAAAAAAAATCCCATTTGTGAGTTGAGTTGCTTCATGACATTAATGTTGTCATTGAAGCAAGCGGTGGGAGCCAATCAAATGGTTGTGGACCTGAGCGACCCCAACAGGCCTCGCTTCACCATGCAGGAGCTGAAGGAGGTCCTACAGGAGAGGAACCAGCTGAAGGCCCAGCTCATGGTGGCCCAAGAGGAGCTGCAACTCTACAAGAGGTAAACGTCATTGCGCACCGAGAATTTTATCATACCGTCCGTGCTGTAAAGCGGCCTGCTCTGCTTTTTATTGTTCACCCTCACGTGTTGAAGTGTCCTCTCGTAACAGTTTGGCGTGGAAATGGCTCACGTGGGATTCATTTGTGTTTGTGCAGTGGAATTCTTCCACAGGGCAAATCGGCCATGGTGGAAGTGGACCTGGACGCGCCAGCTCAGAACGGAGCGGCCGCGATCAACGATGCAAAAGAGGAGAAGACCACCATTGGAAAACTGTGAGTGCTTAACCTGTGAATAAAATACCACCTGTATTCTTTGGACAAAAGAGTTAATGAAGTTGAAACAACTTTAAAATATAAATTATTGACATAATGGCAGCAGTTTTAGTTAGTGCAAAGCAAGCAAGTTGTTTGCTCCAAAATCATTTGCGGAGTTGGTTTTACTTCTATTTTTAAGTTGGGGGACAATGTACAGGACAATGATTTCAGTCAGCTCTTTGTTGCAATATGTTGTTGGATTGCCCAGCTTTCATACTTTCTACTTCACCAGAAGTACAGATACTTGTGCGAAAAATTAAGGAGCAACCACTTTGATTGGCCAATATTGGCTTTTAAATTTTTCTTTCTTTTTTTTTTTTTTTGACCTGTTGTTGTTTGCCCTGGGAAATCATCTTAGGAATGTTACTGGGAATGTTATTAGTTTGAAATTTGGGCATTTTTCACACCTGTCCCATAGACACTCAGCGACTTTTTTTTCTTCACCTGTGAGGAGCATTTGAAGCAGTTGAAGCGCCATTCATAAACAATAACGTCATCGTAATAATGGGCTGAGTTATAGATTTGTAATTTTTTTGTATTTGATGCGCCACATGTGCAATTGCATCGCCTGGCAACCCGTTCAACTCGCAATTTGCGCCGTCGTCTAAGTGTTCAGTTATGAGCAGGGTATTCTGATGAAATTGCTCATGGATCCATTAAAAAGTGCGTGCACTTTGCACGGAGAGAACTCACAAAGTCGATCGTTGATCATAGCCCACCGCTCACCACAATAATAATTCAGTCGGCATAGACGGCGGCTTCCCAAAAACGACGAGGCGTGAAGCAAACGGATGTGTTTGCCGTGAAGCGACAGCACATGACACCATGCGATGCATCAGGGTGCGCTCACTCATCCTGAGCCTAATCACATACTTGTGACCAATACGATGTTGACTCACTGGAGTTTCTCCGGTGCACTTTTCCCTCCAATGCCCGAATGCTTTCCCACACTAACTTGTTTTTTTTCCCCCTGTCGCTAGGTTTTCATTTCGACGGAAGTAAGACAAGAAGACAAAGAAGAGACCCTGGCGAGACTGGATTGTATGCAAGGTTTCCAGAACCACTTTTATATATTTTTTTGTACTCTTGTAAAGTGAACACATTGCCTTTATTGTAAATGTACAACAAAGGTTTTAGTTCTTCTTGTGGGGCAAATCATTAGGTACACCTGCATCTTCTACAAGACCTGATCAGTATTGCCTTGAGACGCAAAGGCCGTGAATCTGAAATACGAGCGCAATATGATGGCACTGGACTCACTTGACAAGAAGGAGCACTTTGGCAAATGGCGAGCAATTCTTCAGAAAGAAAAAAAAAAAAACAGAGGACTCAATTTGTTTTATGCCAGTCCCAGTTGAGGTTTACTGTCAGACTAAACATCAAACAGAAAATTAGACGCGTATTAAAAACAAACACACGGCTTAGTCTTTAGTTAGTTTCTGCTAGCTTTGCACCCCCTGCTAACACGTCATGGGACATGCGTATAACCGTTGTAAGCAACCGACCAGACATTCAATTTCACACTCACTGGAGTTTCTCCGGTGCACTTTTCCCTCCAATGCCCGAATGCTTTCCCACACTAACTTGTTTTTTTTCCCCCTGTCGCTAGGTTTTCATTTCGACGGAAGTAAGAAAAGAAGACAAAGAAGACCCTGGCGAGACTGGATTGTATGCAAGGTTTTCAGAACCACTTTTATATATTTTTTTGTACTCTTGTAAAGTGAACACATTGCCTTTATTGTAAATGTACAACAAAGGTTTTAGTTCTTCTTGTGGGGCAAATCATTAGGTACACCTGCATCTTCTACAAGACCTGATCAGTATTGCCTTGAGACGCAAAGGCCGTGAATCTGAAATACGAGCGCAATATGATGGCACTGGACTCACTTGACAAGAAGGAGCACTTTGGCAAATGGCGAGCAATTCTTCAAAAAGGAAAAAAAAAAACAGAGGACTCAATTTGTTTTATGCCAGTCCCAGTTGAAGTTTACTGTCAGACTAAACATCAAACAGAGCATTAGATGTGTATTAAAAACAAACACACGGCGTAGTCTTTAGTTAGTTTCTGCTAGCTTTGCATCCCGTTAACACGTCATGGGACATGCGTATAACTGTTGTAAGCAACCGACCAGACATTCAATTTAACGGTACTCACCATCGTATTATTCTTTATCCTTTGAGAGGAACAGCGATGGCTCTACGCTACAGACGTCCGTTAACGCAATATCTGGCTGTCTTTTACTGCTCCCATCTGGCCAAGGTGAGCAGCAGCACAAAGGCCATTTAGTTGATGCAAAGTGTGACAAAAAAACGGTTGATACTTTTAAAAATTATGTCATTACGATGTTTTTATAAAGTACAATAATTATACAATACTGTTTTTCCGCCACGGGGGAAAAAAAGTATAAAATTGTTGGCTGTTGTTTGGGGAATCTGGAACAGATTAATGGCATGTTCATTCATTTCAATGGGGGGGAATGATTTGAGGTACAAGCATGCTCACGGAACAGATTAAATTGAAATGGTTGCTCGATTATTGAAGACACAAATTTGTGTTAATGTATAAAAAATGGTGGTGACTCAAATGGATTTAGAGGACTCAATTTGTTTTATGCCAGTCCCAGTTGAAGTTTACTGTCAGACTAAACATCAAACAGAGCATTAGATGTGTATTAAAAACAAACACACGGCGTAGTCTTTAGTTAGTTTCTGCTAGCTTTGCATCCCGTTAACACGTCATGGGACATGCGTATAACTGTTGTAAGCAACCGACCAGACATTCAATTTAACGGTACTCACCATCGTATTATTCTTTATCCTTTGAGAGGAACAGCGATGGCTCTACGCTACAGACGTCCGTTAACGCAATATCTGGCTGTCTTTTACTGCTCCCATCTGGCCAAGGTGAGCAGCAGCACAAAGGCCATTTAGTTGATGCAAAGTGTGACAAAAAAACGGTTGATACTTTTAAAAATTATGTCATTACGATGTTTTTATAAAGGACAATAATTATAGAAAACTGTTTTTCCGCAACGGGGGAAAAAAAAGTATAAAATTGTTGGCTGTTGTTTGGGGAGTCTGGAACAGATTAATGGCATGTTCATTCATTTCAATGGGGGGGAATGATTTGAGGTACAAGCATGCTCACGGAACAGGTTAAATTGAAATGGTTGCTCGATTATTGAAGACTCAAATTTGTGTTAATGTATAAAAATTTTGGTGACTCAAATGGATTCATTTGGCTCATTCGACACTCAATTGTCTGGGTCTGCTGTTTAAAACGCAGCACACATTGATGTTTACGGCACGTAATCACCGACACTAGGTGTACTGAAGACTAAATTGTCTTTGATAAGAAAATAAGCATGTTCATTTTGTGGAAACGGGCTCATTGACAACTAAATTAGTTTCAGATGTTCACAAAAACACAGAAGTTAGGTTTATTGGGACACTGGTGAAAATGTACATTTACGTTCATTGATGACAAAATGGTCTCCAGTAAAAGAAAACACATTTCATTTAGACTGTACATTAAATTCATTTAGACGCCAAATAGTAATGTTTAAAAAAAAACATGCATATTAGGTTTATTGAAGACTGTTTACAAGAATGGACATTAGTTCAGTGGAGGATAAATTGGGGGGGGGGAGGTGCACATTAGGTTACCGGTAATATGAATTAACATGCAGACAAAAAAAAAAATTGTCTTTAACTGAAGTTTTCAAAAACACATGAAGCTCAAACCACGCTGGCTTAGTCTTGTGATGCACTTCCAAGGTGTACCCGGTGAAGCGTCCAGTCAGTGATTTTCACTGATGATCAAGTAATCCGAAAAGTATTTTGTAATTCGCACTTTTGTAAACTGAATTCCTTACAAGCTGGCACTTCGATACCCTGGAATGTTTATCTTGACGGTTGAAAATTTGGTTTATCCCCCCAATGAGCTACAAAGTAAACATTCATCTCCTCATGTCACTTTGATGCATTCATTCCTGAAATTCATTTCAGCTCATCGCGTCTTATCGGGCGCAGCGCGGCTCATAATTTACAAAGCTGGCAAATGTCACAACAGTAGACAATGTGTAACATTCACTCCAAGATAAAATATTCTACAGCAGGAAAAATGTACAAGGAGCATGATTAAAATTGCAAAAAAACTGCAAGTTAGTTTAAAATCATTTTTTGTACGTCCTTTAAAAAAAAAAATTGTCAGGACGAGTCATCCATAGCATCTTTTTAAACACTGAAGCGTCACAATTTTTTTTTTTTGTTTTGCAAGGGGCGAGTGGAGTTGTTTTGTTAGTTTTAATACTTGAGCCAAGGGTGAGCCGAGATGGCCTCTTTGCTGCGGTCGCCGTAGTCGTACAGCAGCTCCTCGTCGGCTTCGATGTCCCTGGACGCCACCAGGATGAGGTGAGGCGAGCCGTCAATGGCATGCAGCTTGGTCTGGCAGTTGCCAGCCTTGCTGTGGTTGAGGAGGCGGCCCAGGCGGCTCGTCTCGCTCGTAGCGTCGACGCTGCAGAGCGGTCGTCACAAAAACAGGTTAAAATGGTGAATGTCCGACACTGCTTGAAGAATCACATGTTCTGAGCGAATGCTATCATTTTGGGGGGGTGGGGACCTGCGTGTTCATTGTTTTCAGACGCTTCGATGTCCCTGGACGCCACCAGGATGAGGTGAGGCGAGCCGTCAATGGCATGCAGCTTGGTCTGGCAGTTGCCAGCCTTGCTGTGGTTGAGGAGGCGGCCCAGGCGGCTCGTCTCGCTCGTAGCATCGATGCTGCAGAGCGGTCGTCACAAAAACAGGTTAAAATCGTGAATGTCTGACACTGCTTGAAGAATCACATGTTCTGAGCGAACGCTATCATTTTGGGGGGGGGGACCTGCGTGTTCATTGGTTTACGATCACCCTCACCTGTGGACAAAAACAGGGAAAAATTTTTTTAACTTGACCAAATATTGGTAATTGGCATTAAAAAAAAAAATCAATAACCAATTGAACTAGTTTTTGCACTTGAGTCACCTTTTATGACTTTGTTATTCACGCGTTTAAAACTGTTCAGTTTTCCGTTGTTAACGCGGCCAGCTCCAGCAAGTCGCCGTGGTACTCCACCACAAAGTCGCCCTTTTTGAAGAGTCGCTCGGCGAACACGCCGCGGCCTTTGCCTTCGATCACCCTCACCTGTGGACAAAAACAGGGAAAAAAAAAAAATTTAACTCGACCAAATATTGGTAATTGGCATTCAAAAAAAAAAAATCACCAACCAATTGACCTAGTTTTTGCACTTGTGAGTCACCTTTTATGATTTTGTTATTCACGCGTTTAAAACCGTTTACTTTTCCGTTGTTAACAGTGGTGAGCTTTACACTTGTTTCACTCTCAACAGGAGGGCCATTGTTTAACCTCGGAACACATTTTCTCCCATGAGAATGTTTTTTTTTTCGTAAATCCAAACAAATTCCATTTCCACCGTTTAAATTAGATTACTAAATAAAAGGCGACCAATTGTGAATACCGTACTGCAACTAACACTATTGGGAAATGTTGATTTTTTTTTGGTCATACACTTAGGAATGTATGAAAGATAACGCCTCCCAAATGTCACAGGAGACGCGGATACATTGGTTTGAGAATACTAAAATAGGCATACATTGCACCGCAGTCATTACCTGCATTCCTTCTTCGATGCCGTTCTTGATCAGGTCATCCAAGTGTTTGTGCTCTTCATTCTGAAAACAAATCATGCGAACAAATAGTTTGGTGTCTCTCATCGGTAATGTGCTCTTCCTCTTGTTTTTTTTAAGAGCACAATATGATTGGCTGTTTGCAGAGATCACTAAATGAACCAGTCTTTGAAAATAACGAGAGGCCAGCAGCCCCTCCTCCGCCCCCCGCCCTTCTTGGTTAAGCAGAGAGGGGAGGGGTGAGCAGAGGACACAGGAAAGGAAGGCGGGGAGGTAGGGAATAAGACAAATGAAAGAATTATCGGTTATTGCGTCCTTGCCAGGCAGCATTTGGGACGAATGAAAGATATGCGGAATAATCAACAGCGAGAAGAGGCAGAAAAGGTCCCAAAGTTGAATGACTATGACTAGCAATTGATGACAAACTAACCTTCAACTCTGCTTGAGTTTTCCTGTTACTCCTCCTGATTGGGAAGAAGTCTGTGACCTTCCTGTTTTGCGAAGCGTTACTCTCCACCCTATAGGGAAAGATGATACGATTACAAGACGTGTTGCTTCTCGCTAGTGGTGGAATTATTGCTTCTCAACGCACTTTTTCCCTTTGCGAGGATTCCGACTTCGAGGTTTGGGTGTTGGAAGTTTGCGCTCGTCCGCCTGGGCCACGTTTGCATGCGGTGTCACTTCCTTTTGCCACGGTTGATTGGCGACCTTGGTTTCGCGCAGCTCAGGCTGCGTTTCATTTGAGGCGTCTACAATGACAGCAGTTAGCATTTAGCCCTCTGTTGTGCTGCTACACGCAATGCTAATGCTTCCTTTTGCCACGGTTGATTGGCGACCTTGGTTTCATTTGAGGCATCTACAATGACAGCAGTTAGCATTTAGCCCTGTTGTGCTGCTACACGCAATGCTAACGTGGCTACTTCCTCACCTTTGTGCGCCTTGGCTACGCAACTGACGTCCGTGTCATTTCCGTCTTGAATGAGCATACTGGAAGCGTCGCTTAGAGGCGATATGGCCCTTTTCAGACAAGGTGGACTCAGAAGAACGCTTTGATGTGCTTTTCTCGTGCAATCTGGCTGCAAAGGTGGTTAATGATTACTTGCAAATACTGTACACACAGGGACAAAAAAAGTGTTAGACCAGGGATACCAAAATGGTGTCCCTTTGAGAGCCGCTTATGGAAAAATGGCAGTATGCAAGGGACACTTTGAATTTTGTTGACTTTAATGCATTACACATGCTCAAAACAAATCAAAGCAAATGTATATTTTGAGCCAATTTTTTTTTTTAGCTCAAGCCAAAACTAATTATGGGGAGCTTCGGCCACAGTGAAAGTGGAAAAAAGCAACAATTAAGATACTGTAATGCCTTTTCCAAATAGCCAAGGAGAGCCGCAGTTGGCGATCTTTATTCAGTGGGACAGTCAAACATAATACAAAATGAGAACACTCGCAAGGAGCAGATGCTCACACAGAACTAACCACATGAAGTTGGAGTCGGGGGCACTGACATTATTCGTTAGGCCACGCCCATTAAAGGCACACAACATGGATTCTACAGTTTATGTTGAGGGGCGTATTTTGGCTTAGTTCTACTTAATGTAATTGTTTTTGGTATCTCCATTCGATAACATTCGGGAACCTGTTAAAAGAATATAAATAAAAAGCCCGCTGAGGCGGGACTACTTTGTGCCGCGTAGTCATCAAACAAACCTCTTTGCTAGCCACGGGACGGTTTTCTTTCGTCTCTTCCGAGATGAATTTGCCGACAAAAACGTTTTCCAGCTTTTTGTCCGTCCTTTGCACTTGTTTCTTCCCTGCAAACATACGATCCATTAGTTTTGTTACGCATTCAACCCGTGTAGTGGCTGCTTTTTGGTGTACAATCTAACGCCCACACAAAACCAAACAAAAAAAATATTTTGGTTACCTTTTGCCATGTCAATTTTGCGACTACATGTCCGACATGATGGATGGTGGATTAAATATATTCCTCCGGGTTTAACTTGTTTATTGTTGCGGCGACCGTCGACACACACATACAAATCACCCGTGTTTGTGTGCGTGCAGTAAAAACGTGTTCGAATTTAAAAACCCACGGGCCTCTCTAATTGGTTAACTTGCTTCACATAGGCGGAGTCATCTGCGTCTATACTGCTCTCTCATTGGCTGCATTTCCAGCTCTTGTCAAATAGGAAGAACGCTAACTTGGAACTTTGGTCTATGTATTAAAATTTTACTAGACGATAGTAAACAGTAGTTGGTATAATCAAGGCAATTATCAGTTGATAATCAATCTAACCAAAATATTAGAAGGTTCACTGCAAAATATTGTACATATAAAATAGCAGCGCTGTGATGCAAATGTTTTTTTGTTTGATTCAGTTCTTTAATCTGGAAAAAAAATATTTAACACATAAAAAAGAAAAAAATCAAGACAGTGTTTTCATAAAAATTGTCTCATTTTTGCATTCTTGGGAAGGCAAAAAAAGATTCCTAATGCTTCAAGTGTCCCTGTTGATTTCAAACAGTTTCCTTCCCAGGAGTGTTCTGGGCTTGGAGGCCTTCTTTGAACAGTCTCTTCCTCTCCAGATTCTCTTTGACTCTCCTGCGTTTGTCTTGCTTCTTGACCTCAGCCTCTTTCTTTCTTACCAGGATGTCGCTGTGCTCTCCTTTGTAGAAAACATCCAGTTTTTGTTGCATTATTTCCCGCGCTCGCTTTCGATTGATGTCCACTGATCTAGTTTGATGACACTGCAAGGGCAAATAATGACGTCAACAGATACTTTTTTCCCAAAACACAGCATATGTGGAATTCAGGAATTTAAGACACTAAAGGGCTTGTATTTGAACAAATGTTTACGTGTGTGTACGTTCTTGAATCATCAAAATAAAAATACAAAGAGAAACAGGAAGGGAAAGAACACTAATGACTCAAGAGTTCAATAGCAACAATTAACCTTGACGACAATCCCAGAGGGGATGTGTTTCAGAACCACGCAGTTGCTGGTCTTGTTGGTGGCCTGCCCCCCGGGTCCGGAGCCCCTTACGAACTGCTCCTCCAGTTCGTCTTCCTCCAGGTGGACCAGGTCGACCAGGTCCTTCTTTCCGGCAACCGCGACTCGCGTCGGTGCACCGGGGGGCGGTTTCACCACCGAGGAGACCCCGGGGGAGCTGTTCCGTGGCACTCCACTCGCTAGGCCGTTGTAAATGAAGCGAACGAACAGGGAAAGCCTCGACATACTTTCAAGGACGTCCAAAAAAAAATTAAATGTCGATAAATGAGCTATGACTTATTTACATGTCTTTTACATTGTGTTTACATTTGACTGCGGTCCGTCAAATCTTCTTCTCCGCTTAAAAAAAATACCCTACCGGCTGCTCTTCCTCGCAGGCAAAACACATTTTGTAAACTTCGTCGCTCTCTAGCGGACAAGTATTAAACTGCACTTTCTGCTGTGTGAATTTAACAACACTGTATATTTTTTCACGTGAAACTTTTCAGAGATTCTAATGTAATACAGTTTAATAACAGAAATGTTAATAACTGAAGACAAATTTAGAGAAGCTAAATGTAAACAAAATGTATTCAAAAACAATGGTTTATTTTTTCAGCTAGTGATCATATTTTGGTATTTTTAAGTAACTTAGTTTTATGATTGATTTTCATTTATATATAGCACTTTCAGCAACGATTTTTTTAGGTACTCTATTTTAATATTTTTCAATAAAAAAAAACACCGTGGTTGTACAGTACCATACTTCCTGTCGTCTCCTCTGGTGGACTAAAAATAGTCCATCAGGAAACCCCATGTCAGCCTCAGAAAATAGCAATCTCTCCATGACGTATTTAACCCATTATTTAGTATGCACACGTAAGGTGCATTCGAAACTTGATCGCTTGTGTCAACAGTGAAAACCCACAACCTCAACCAACAAGAACTAAATGATTCATGTGTTGTACTTTGGGACTACAGTAGTGCAGTACTTACTTTACTACAGTGTGGGATTATTGTAAATGTTCATAAATTTGATGATTTGCAAAAAAAAATGAAGAGTCTACAGTTTTTATAGTTTGGTGATTTTTGTAAGAGATGCCTCTTACAAAAATCAGAAAATCAGTGAAAAACGTGTAAAAAAATTAAACTGCAATGTCAATTAAAAATATTAAAACCAAGTATAATTTAACTTTGAAAATGTCCTTCGTTTTTCTCAACTTTTTTAAAATCTTGCACCTGACAAAAAAATAGTAATAACACAACCCCCCCCCCAATTAATACAAAACCGTATAAAGCTCAGCATTTTCAAAAACAAAAGCCAAAAAATAGCTATTCCTTTTAAAAGCGTCCAACTCGATGAGCAACGATAAGGTGGTGTAATTTGCATTGGACCAGCAGGGGGCGCTATTCTGCTTGCTTAAAACGAGACTGTTAAATTAGTATACAGTATATCATATACTAACAGGACGTTTTTTCATCCTTCAATCCTCCTTCCCTAATCCTTCATCTTGCTTTCATTATATTTTTCCATCCCTTCATTCCATTTCTTAAACAGTCCCTCATCCTTCCTTCAAGGCATCATATTAATTCCCTTTCTTAATTCTCTTCTTCCCTCCTTTCTTTCAACATCCCAACTTTAAAATTCCTTCGTGGCCTCCATAATTCATCCCATTTGTCCTTCCATCCATTGTTCCTTTTTGCTTCCTTCCCTCCTTCCCCGCCCTTCTTTCCTTTCTTCTCCATGGTTCCTTCCCTCCTTCCTTCGTTTTTTTCCCTTCTACCCTTATTTCTTTTCTTGAATGCCTCATTTATCCTCCAACCTATCCCCTTTACTTCCTTAATTTCATTTTCCTCCCTTCATATAACCACTCTGGCTTCCGCTCATCCCGCCTACCTTGCTTTCTCACTCTTCCAACGTCTATTACTTCCTTAATTCCTTTGTTTTTCGTTCCTTAATTCTTACTTTCCTCATCTTCCTTCCTTCCTTCTGGCTTCCATCTGTCCTTCCCATTGTATCCTGCATCTTTCACTTCCATCTCCGGGCCTTCCTTGTTTCTTTCCTTCCCTTCTTTCAAGCCAACCATGCTTCCTTCCACCCATATCCTACCTTCCTTCTTCCACCCCCATTTCCTACTAGTCCCACCCTGAATACCGTACCGTAGTTGCAAGGCTTTTATTTCGAAAGGCTAACCGGATCTCCAGCGGTGTATCATGTCACTCGTGCGTCTTAGCGTGTCTCGATGTGACGCGCTGCTCAGGGACTGTGAAGTCTCGTTGCGCTTCAGACTTGCTGAGTGACAACTTAACGATGGCGGTGCTGGTGTCCGTTCTTCGTCCTCGTTGTTTCCCCTGCCGGTTGGCCTGAGCTGCCCACACCTGAATGCGCCTCGCAGACCCTGGTCCGCCGAGTCCCGCCAAACGGGCAGATTTAAGGGCGTTTTTGCGGACGTCGCCGGTGAGCTAACTTTGGCCTTTTTTAGTGGCGGGGTGTCGTGCAGCTGCTCCCGTTGCCAAATATGCGGGCCTGAGTGGCAACAAACCTCGCCGGGGTGGACCGCGCTTACGGCGTAAACACACGCCGAAGATGTGCTGATAACGACGGCATGATGTTTTGTGGTCGCGTCATCTGTGGTCCGCGTCGTTGTCAAGGAAATCGGGACTTTTTTTTTTTGGCGGGGATACACTCGTTTCGATCTCATGGACCTCACCGGGTGGGCGGCTGCCGCTGAGTCCCGCTGACTCCGAAGAGGACTCCACCCGCCGCCCGCTCTACCAGGTGGATGAACTGGGCTTCCTCCTTCCCAATGCCGAGGTACATCGCAGGTATGTGATGAGAATTTTTGACATGGCCGCCATGTTGCTAGGTAACTAAGTGCTCTGTGGGTTTACTCTCGTTCACCCCCGCCTTTTTAAAATACATTAATTCTAACGTTGATAACTTTTGTACCTGCTTCCTTCCGCCATGTTCACACTCATGCTGTGTCAGCGAGTTGTCCTCAACCAGAAACCAGGAAGTGCTCATGCAGTCAATCATTCGCAGCCTTAACTGATTACCTCAGCCGGTCCACGCTTCATGGGGCACCGAAACGACATTTCATTTCATTTGGTACGTCGCCCTCCCTGTCTGTCGATAATTGTGATTATTGATCCTTGGTGTATTTCCCATTGCCAACTTGACGTGTCTTTACCCATGTATAGATTTGTATTTAATAGCAAGCGAGCACATTCAGTTACAGCAGTGAACCCGGGTTGATTCATACAATTTGCGAGTAACAAGGTTAAACAGTGGTGCCTCGAGATACGAGTGACCTGTCATCTTTCCATTTTATAGATTTTGTTTGATGTGTGGCAGCGAATTTAAGTCACTTTACAAAAAGCAGCCATTTGGGAGGTTGCAATGCTGGACTGGCTCTCTGGCATACAAGGCAGATGCCCATTGGACCAGGGGCCAATGCGGTACTATTTCTTAATTATCCATCCATCCATTTTCTAATCTATTTATCCTAATGGGGGTCGCGGACGTGCTGGAGCCTATCCCAGCTGTCTTCGGGTAGTAGGCAGGGTACACCCTGAACTGATTTCCAGCCAATCGCCTGGCATGCATAGATCCACAACCATTCGCGTTCATAATTTAGCGTGTTCCATTAACCTGCTGTGCATGTTTTTGGAATGTGGGAGGAAACCAAAGTACAAGGAGAAAACCCACACAGGCACAGGGAGAACATGCAAACTCCACACAGGAAGGACGAGGCCTAGAATCGAACCCTGTACCTCTGCATGGTGAGGCAGACGCGCGAACCATTCGCCCACCATACTGCCCATTTCATAATTATATTTCCTTCATTTTACCACAAGACATCGGCCCACAATTTAGAGGGAGCAGCCCACTAATCCATTTACGATATAGACAGTAAACTGAATCATTCAACATCAGTGAAATAATTACGTGGTAGCCAGAGATGGTCAGGACTTATGTATGCATGCACATTTGATAAAAATCTATCTTTAGAATTGATTGTTGTAGTCATCGTCAATTATATCCATGATTTTCACACCATCTTCAGCGTACAACATGGGTGAGAAGTTGTTTGTCATACCATCCACAGTCATGGTTCTTGGCTTAATGTTAACAATTTTAAATGCCACAGATGGGCTAACGAATAGCATCAGTACCACGGTCGGTTTAATTACTCTTTTAAGTAATGAATATTTGAACACCAACTGGGGAAGAACACATGGAGACAGATATAAAAATACTCTCAGTCATAGGGGAAAAAAAAAATTTCATTTGTTCCATGACCCCTTTCTGGTTTCCATTGAAATAAATGGAAAAGCAGTTTTTCCGTTCCAGCTGCAGAGCGTCCTATTTACCTTATTTTGATCATCTTATCAATTACAACCTGCGCTGTGAGGTGAAAACACAATTGATGATGATGAAATAAATGTGTTCACTAGCAGCACTGTCTTTGCAGATCCCACAATGCAGTGCAGTGTTTGCACTGCATTATGGGATGTACCATAGATTTTAGAAAAAAAAAAGATACCTAATGCATGCTGCCGATGATGTTTATGTGCTGCAAACCCCCCCACAAAGTTGGCATTTCAAGACTGTTCCTAAATCGAGATACTGGACAAATGTACTCGAGTAACAAAAGTATTTGTACTCAGTTACTTCCTGCCGCTGCCTATAGCCTCGTAATTTATGAGGCTGACTCGGCAGACGTGATGTGGCATGTGACTCTCTGTTGTTTTTGTCCACATAAAGGCTGATCTCAAATCAGTTACAGTTACATCAGGACAAGACGTGACTCGCACTTACAAAAATCAAGAAATGCGGTGCGGCGAGATCATCATCTTATCTGTGCACATCCCGTCGCCTCCGCGAGTCAAGGCCTGTGTGGCGGTTGGGCAGGGACATTGTGCAAAAATGACACGATCTGGACACGGAGACGTGCGTGATTTCATACGGTCATAACCCAGACTTCCTCTTTCATCGTCGTCATAACCCTTTCGGAAGCCTTTAATGTTGTAAAACACCTTTTTTTTTTTTTAAATAATTTTGTTTTTGCCGAACCAGTTTTTAGAAAGGGGCGTAACACTTTTGCCCGAGGAGCTGCTCACACGCCTGCACATACACACACACAAAGGGCGTGGCCTACAGCAATGCAAACACAAAAATCTTTTAATCAAGTCAGTGCCACAGTAGATTAATCGTTTAATCCTAGGAGGACAGTAAAGGTCTATTTGCAATTTTCTTTTTGCTTCAGAGCTCCCCCTACAGTTATGAGTGTAATTAGTTTTCAAGCCACTCTGTCGTTTTTTAGTTTTACGAGGGGGGGGGGAAAGTCGCAATTATAACACCGTAAAGAAGAAAGTTGAAATATATTGTAAGAATATTTTTGTAATCGTACAAGGGAATAAGTTCTCATTGTATGAGAATGAATTCAGCACCTCTTGGCAATATAAAGCGTTCGATTTGTATACTGGGCGGCACAGTGGTCGACTCGTTATCACGCCGGCCTGACAGCGCAGAGGAGCAGGGTTCCATTCAGCCTCCAGCACACCCCGCGACCCTCATGAGGATAAAAGTGGTCTCGATATTGGATGGATGAATTTGTATCCTGTATTAATTTAATGACATTAAATGCCGCACGATTGCGATATTACAATATTGGTATCAGAACAAACATTATGAAAATACAATATTCATATTTTTCAAATTAGACATGCAACAACTTGCAATTTGCAAGATTAGTCCTAATAAATCCACATTTAAAAAAAATGACTGAAAAGAAAAAAAACACTTGCGATTCTGTCAATTTCAGTTCAAATGGGAGGTCTTCTGTGTCAGTGCAGTCTTTTTTTCATTTTTATTCAACACGGATTGAGAAGCATTTTCTTTGTAAGTTGATGAAGTTATGCTATGGTGCAGCAGGGTTTTTTTTTTTTTTTGCGGCTTGTTGCGGCTCAACCTCGTCTTGGCTCCTGGATGGGAGCAGATTGCCTTTTGCTATTTTGGAAACCTCTCCTGCATCTTTTTCCATCCCTCCCACTCGATGCAAGTGCAAACCTCTCGGAAGAACGTGACAGGAGAAGAAGTACAATGAAAGCCCTACTTATTGAAGCTGGGGTGCGATCCGGGCCCAGCCACAAAAGGTGAAAAGCACCATTTTTGAGACACCATGTTAAAAAAAAAAAAAAAAACAACCTTTAAAATAGTTTTTCTCCTCCTGCATACTATTTGGACTTTAAGAATAAGTGTCTTATATAAACTTATATATTCTCCTTGCTCTTTGATAGTGGCAACCGTGACTTGGAGAATTGCTTGTAGGAGATCTTCTGCCTACTTCTTATGAATTGTGTCACATGTTGACATGCTTGCTCCTGATGGTGTCCGACTCTAAATTCGGAATGTGTGTGTGCGTGTGTGTGTGTGTGTGTGTGTGTGTGTGTGTATATATATATATATATATATATATATGTGTATATATCTCGGCCTACCTGTGGATAAACTAGTCAAGTGTGTCGTTCAGTGGCCAAAATGCATGCAAGTATCCCCCCCCCCCAAAAAAAAAACATTAAAAATCTCAGATGTACCGGAGGGCAAAAGCTGCACTGCCTTCCTGCATAATCAGAGACACTTTTATTCATTTATTTTCCATCTTCTTTTTACACTTGCGCAGCCTGTTAACAATGATTAAATGTGACTTGACATATTTTCTGAAGAGTGGATCCATACTGGTCCTAATTGTAATTGGTCTCACTGGTAAATGTTGTTCATCGGGTTCCAACTGTATCGGATGAAGCAAGACGCCTTCATGTTATCTTGGGCTGTGTAGTGTAATTATTATTTTTTTCCCCCACCCCCTTCCATAGCTAATAAGCCCCGCAGGCAGAGATTCACGCCTTCTTTGCATCACTTGTTTGACAGTCAATAGATTTTTATTGGCACTGGCAGCACCGCGGGGCGCTTTAACAAGTTTTATCCTCAAATAGAGCCCACCTGCTCGCAAGACGCCAGCTACATGGCGCCACTATTCTGGTCACCTTTCGCGCAGTGTTGTGCCTGCACCCGTCGGAGCAAGAAGCCAGGCATGCTAAAAGTTCAAGGTTGCTAACGGTGTGGGATTTGTAACAGAATATCTCATAATGAAGAGAAGGTTTTACACGCACATATATATCTCACCTTCTCTAATACCTGCACTTTGTGTAGTTTAAGAATGCAAAATCCATTTTTCTCCGATTAATCACTGGGATCATCTTTAGAATAATTTATTCCCCCAAAAATCTGTGATAGCTACAGCGCTAGCTGTAAGCTAACAAAATGCAAAAAAAGTGACGCACTCCTTGTTTAGCCTTTTTTCCCCATTATGGGGTGTTCCATGTGTCATTCGAAAAAAAAAATGGATTGAGTCTATTTTGGAAAGAGACTTGAAACAGAAAATCGAGAAAAATGAAGCACCGATTTGCAACGCGAGCTGGCTGGTTAGCCAGCTTCTTTGGACCAGACGCTCATCTTGATGCCTTTTCAAATAATGTGGGAAGTGGAACCTGCGTCACGTCTCCTGCATTTTCTTTTATAGAACCCCCACCCCCTTCCTGTGTCCTCCATGTACTTATGCTTGTTGTGAAGGGAGGGGCTGCTATTTCCTCCCCATTCATTTACCTTTTTTTTTTTTTTTTTTTTTTGCTGCAAGTGACAAGGAGTTCAAAGGTCGTCAACGGACTACTGAATTTGTTTGGATCAAGTCCGACATCCTGTTAGATGACGGATCGGCTCACGTCAACCAAAGTGCGTTGTTTGCAAAGCTAAGCTTTTTGTGAGTACAAACCACATTTCTCTACCTTATCACACAAATTTGGGAAAACAACAAATGACTTGTTTTTCGGATATAATGAACCCCCCCATTTATCGCATGGGGATATGAATTGAAACAGCAGTAAAATCCCAATTCAATCTTTTTGTGAAATTGTTAAGCCCCCAACTTCCTCTTTTTTTTTTCTTTTCAACCGAACACCTGACTTTGACGTGGGCTAAAAATAGCCCCCGCCCCCCCACCTGCCTCCCCATGTTTCCCCCCTCACCACCGCACTTGTACTTATGCTGGGAAGTCCGTGCTACGTTAATGAAAGGTTTTCAGACCCAACTGTTTAAAGTATAGCGTGTACACATGCGTGTCGGAGTGATTGCCGCTTTCATAGGCTTTGTCCTTCGATCAGAAAAGGTGATGAAAAAAAAGGCTTGTTTTTCCACATAAAAGGAGAACATGACCTCAACGCGAGAAAAGGACAAATGGCCTTTTATGGTCAGCAAGAGTGCGAGCGAGAGACACAGAGAGAGAGAGAGAGAGAGAGAGAGAGAGACTGTGGTGGGAATCACTCACTCGTTCCCTTTCTCCTTTCATGCTTTATAAGGTTTTTTTTTTCATTCACACATTTCCAAGTTTTGAACTCAGTGAATAGTCGTGCTTATTAATCGTGATTTCAGTATCAATCCGCCACGTAAAGGTTGATCCTTTTTAAAAAAAAAAAGTTTTTATTTATTTTTTCAAGAAGAGCTCTCAGTGTGTCGTGCTCAAGAGCGTCAGAGGTATTTTGACTATAAGCCAGCCGAGCGTCTTGAGTGCATTTGTATTGACCCCCCCCCACCCACCCCACGGATGACTCATTCATTGATAGTTTTCAATCGCAAGCTTCACAGGATACGCGGGTCGTCTTTGCGATATCATGTTCGTCTTGATGGCGTTTGACGGGTGGCGAGGTACAGCAATTTGACGACAACCAAGGAAAAACATGCTGGTGTCAAAAGCGGAAGAACGTTTCCCTCTGGGGGTTAATATGAGTGTGATAAAAATGTCACGCTTTCAAATGGAACTGCAAAACAACTGAAAACGCGATAAAGATTGCAGTTGGCTTTTACTATTTTGGCTGAAATGTACTCTCACATGTCCAGCACCACTTTTTTTGCCTTAATAATGACTTATCTAAAACATATATATCAGAAAAATACAACTTTATTCTCATCGTGTTATGAACTTTTTCAACAAAACAGACATTTTTTTGTTTAGGTATTGCAATACTTCTTTAAACTTTTAACCTGACAGAATTTAGTCTTGTGTCTGTTGTGTGTCACTGACAGTGGTGGAAATAGCCAAGTACAAATACTTTATTAGTGTACTTGTTCTTCAGGTACCTGTTTCACCTCATTATTAGTGTCACTTTTTTAAAAAAGAAGAGAAGCTATTCCGAACGCCCTTTTGTAACGAGAAAATATTTTGAGATATTAAATAAGATAAGATAAGATAAGAAAACCTTAATATCTGATTCATCATTCTAGCAGGTTTTTATTTGGTCATTATTTTTTTAAATGAGTCATTTAAATGTTTTTTTTTTCCCAAAAAGAAGACGGTTGGTGCTGCACTTTTCTAAAACGAAATGTTTTATATCATTAAATATTGACTTTTCTTTTGTTGGACAATTTATTGCTAGCAAATTGCTGGAGATATTGAATTATTATTATAATTATTATTTGGATCATCTTTCAGTTTCAGGTTTTTATTTTAATGTAATTAGAAATCAATCATTAAAGTAATTAAGTTCCTAAAAGAGACTAACCATTGATGGTGCACTTTCCTTAAAAAAAAGAAAAAAAAAGTGGAATTTGGCATGTGGGAGGAAACTGGAGTACCCGGAGAAAACCCACGCAGGCACTGGGAGAACATGCAAAACTCCACACTGAAAGGCCTGAATCGAACCCTGCACCTTTGCACTGTGAGGCGGACGTGCTGAGCAGTTATTCGCCGCGCCTGCCTATGTTACATTTTCCTAAAACAAAAAAGGAGACTACTGAAATGGCACTTTCCTAAAAAGAAAACATTTATGATGTTAAAAATGTGTCAGGATATATTTTATTGTAGGATTTGCATTTGTTTTACCATGAAATGTGCTCCTGTTTGCACAAAAGAAAACCAAGTACACTACTGTACCGAAGCGTCTTTTTTTTTTGTTTGTTTTTTTGTGTAATGTTTCCGTGCTACAGCAGCAGCGAGAATCAGAATCCGACCCCCGTTTGTGCTGGCGAGCGCCGCTTTCCCTCGTCACTCTTGACTCCCATCTCTGCCGCCAATAAGCAGCCGGCGAGCCCCCCTCGGTGTCTCCATGGCAACTCCGTCCGCCCTCCCCTCCCCTTCAAGGAATGATGGAGCGGATACAGGGGCAGCGAAGGAGGATGCGTTTCGGCCTCGGGCGTTAACATTTCGCCTCGTGAGGTTGGCAGATTGCGTTTGGTGGTTACTCCAAGAAGATCAGCGAACAAGCGTGAAGTGGATGCACGCCGCTGCCTTTAGTTCGGAGTTGATTTCATTCCGTGAGGATCATTATTGTGACTCGATTTACTTGGATATCAAATCCGAATTTTCCCATTGAAATGAATGAAAATGCCATTCATCTGTCCTGGCTCCCGAAACAATGGCAACATTTTGCATAGGGCAGAAAATTTTGAAAATCTATCTCGTATGTCCCCCCCCCCCCCCCCCCCACCATTATTGCGATTGCGATTTAATATGCGATTGTTTTTTTTTTTTCTTTTTCTTTCAAGGTCCTCTTCTGTGTTTATTTTTTCAAAGTTCTAAAAAAACAATACAAACAAAGAAAAAGTCTCCCCTGACACCAGTTTTTAATCACCCGACACCGTCTAATGAGCAGGCATCGTTCTCAGGCGACACTCACACGAGGTTGGATTGTGACGTTTGAAGGGAAAGTAAAAAAGCGACAAAAAGCATTTCCTCTGGGCCTCTGCGCTGGATGAGTGAACTAATGGTCCGCTCCAAATGACAGCGCTAGCCTCGCTTTTCCTTTATCGGACCCCCCCCCCCCCAAAACCCCTCAGCGAGTTATGTAACGGCTGCGCGATGTGAGAGATCCTTGTTCAACCCCGTCTCGTAACTGATTAATCCTCGTGTCATTTGCATAAAAGGGCATCTAATTTTGGACGCGGGGTGAAAGCACGGTAGCCGACCTGCCCCTTTTGCAGCGAGGCCGATGAAGCGGAAGAAGAAAACAATGCGGGGGGGAGGAGATGGTTGATTGGTGATGTCCATTTTTTTTAAATGAAATGCTGTCTCAATCCCGCAAAAGGTGTCCTTGTGCACCGTTAGCTCGGCCGGCGTACGAAACGGTATCGTCAACACAGCATTCGGCATCTCGTGGGAGCAGAAGTTGTCCACATTTTAGCTGGCTACCAACCAGACCTGTTTTTAAGTCTTACACCTTTATCGGAATGAGGAGGAAGAAGAAGAAGAAGAAGAAGAAGATGAGGTGGAGGAGGAGGTGGAACACAATGGAGATGCTCAGAGGGTGTGGGGGTATTTTTAGCTCATCCATCCCCTTCATACTGCAACGATGACTAAAGAACAAGGGCAGGTTGCACATCCCACAAGCTTCTCCTTCG